TTCCTTCTCAAATTCAGGTAGGCCTCTGATCCTCAAATTTGTCTGTTTTTCTTTAAGTTCAATCATAGCAAGCGTCAGCTTATGTTCATCAAGTTGCCTCTGTAGGGCTGGGACTCTGTCTTTCTCCAATTGTGTTACTTTGCATTCAGCAGCTGCAGCCTTTTCCCTAGCTTCCTCCGCGGTCTGCCATATCAAATTGGATTCCTGTATCAATTTCTGAATCGTTTCTGTATTGGTATTCACCTTTAGTCCCAAATTGTTTATGCTTTCCGTATTTAAATCAATTTTTTTATTTCCAGCATCCACTTTCTTATTAAGCTGTTCCAATGCGTCATTTATCTTACTTAACGCAACCGCTATTACCTCTTCTGATGACATTCCTTTTGATTTTGGTTGTGCTGATATAGACACAGCAGCAGCCGGAGGAAGGGGATCTGGTATTGAACTTCTCCTAGGTTGCTGCCTAATCCTCCCAGACCTTAGTGTTTTTTCAGCAGTTGGCAAATCTATTTTTTCCTTTCCATTTGCCATAACACTTAAACAATTCAAGGTCAGTCCCAGAGTCACACAGTTCTTATCTTACAGCTGGAAATTCCCCTAGCTCCACACTTATATCAAGAACTTCCACTAGAGGGAAACAGTTTCAATTTATGTTACTTGTTTTGATAAATAATGTCCTCTTTTAAACACAATTCAAACATCCAAAGTTAGTTTCAGTTTTCAGTTACTATTTGTTCCTTTTTTGAAACAACCAGAAGCTGTAGAAGCAATGTAGAAACAATGTATTTGTCTTACTTAGCTAGCTGTCAGTGAACGTTCTATACGCTGTCAATGGACATTCCAAAAACGTCAATCCAGCAAGCAGCCCGTTTCCAGGGTCAGAGCGGCAGTATTCTGACTCTCTTCACTCTCTCCTGCAGGTCTACTCAGTCCACAACTTCCCCCCTCTTCTCCTGGCCCCGAGGGGGGATTAAATGTTCTTTGCCGTTGAAATTTTAGTCTTTTACAAAGGGCTTTCCAAGGCTTCAGCTTACAGCCTTTTTGCTTCAGTCTATTTACAAAAGGGAAGGCGGACTTCCTGTTTTGATCCTCCCCGCTTTGATACCAAATTGTACGTTTAAATATCTAATTCTCCCGTTCCAGCTCTACTCACGGGTAATTACTTTAGATTCAAATTGTCCACAGGAAAAGGTCAGCGCTCTCTGGCAACAGCTATGCGGCTTCGCTCCGTGAAAAAAGCAGACGACTCGAAGCAGCGCGCCACTCACCCCACGTCGCTCCGGAACCCCGAAATCGGGTTTCCCCGCGAGTAGGGGAGGCGCAAAAGGTGCCCGCCGAATCCCACATTCACAGGCTTCTCCCGCCTGTGATTTTTTTCGGGTCTCCGCCTTCGCCGTAGCGGCCAGACCCTATTTTCCACGGGGCAAATCCCTCCCGGTCAGAGGAATTCCGCCATTGCCGATGGCGCTAACCCGGAAGTCCTTGGTTTACCTTATTGCACACATGCTCCTCATTGCTAAATGTTCAGACTCAAGCAGATATCATGCAACAACGTCTGCCTGGAGTTATGCTGCAACTATTATTGGAATTCACATTGAGAAAGAGAGAGAATCAGAGAATGTGTTCCACATCCATTGAGCTGTATCCAATGTTAGTCCAACTCAGACATGACCGATTGGGTTCCTATAGCTCCTGCTCCATTTTCAAAAGACCTTTATGAACAAGTTAAAAGAGGTAATGAGACAATGTTTGCCCCCCTTCTAGCAGAGGATGACATATGCCGCCAGCTCCCAGAGACTTTCATTCTAACCTGTGAATATGATGGTCTCTGGGACGATGGGCTGTTGTACAAGAAGCAGCTAGAGGACAACGGTGTGCCAGTGACATACCATCATCTTCCAGATGGATTCCATGGAATAATGGGCATTGTTTGTTGTTGAATTTATTGCCACTTGAATTTATGAACACACAGAAATGTTTGCAGATTGTAATATAGTTCTTAAAGAGTTTATAGAAATGAATGACTTTCTTTGTCTTCTTATGGCAGTCTTCCCCTTATGTGGGGGAATTCCCCTCCCCCAATTGTGCCAATCCTGGTTAAAGGTAAAACGCTGATCCAAAGTTTTACTCCGTCATCTTTCTCCACAAAGCAATAGCTTAACTCCTCAAGAGTGCACATATGGGTGTCATGCATAACCGAAAGTGGATGTGGGGAGTGCTATTTTTTTTTAGGGAAAAAAGGTGCTGGCACTCACCATGAAATTGTTACAGTAAGTGCCAAACTTTTAATATTGGGGGAGGTGCCAGTACAGCATACTCTTGATTGCCTCCATAAAAAAAAAGCACTGGATGTGGGTAATGGATTTATCAGTTCACGTTTCAACTCCAAGCCATTCTTAGCAATCTCTCTCTTCCACTTCATGTGTATTATCCATTTGGGGGATATTCTCTGTATGTAAAAGTAAAAAAAAGGTGGGGATATAAGAGCAGATAAAATACCCCAGCCCAAAATCATGTACTGATTGTCAGGAGCTGGTCCTACACTTGAGTAGAACCTTGGCAGAGACACATGCTCTCCCTCCTGGTCATTTGTTCAGGAGCTTCAAAAGCTTTCTTCTGCCCAAATATCACAGCGACCGATGCCAACAGACATTGGCACACTTAGGGATCCGCAGAGTCTTCGCAGTTTGCGTAACAGAACTCAGCAACTCAGCATTTTGGCTAATCTATGTTTATTTACATATAAACACACACGGAGCACTGCAACATGGCTCCCTCTCTCCCTAGCATCAGCCAGCAAAGAGAAAGAACAAAGGACAATAGTCCCACTTCACGGAACACAGTAACACAAACATCCTGTCTCCGTCACTTCCCACTCTGTGGAGTCAAAACATACACTGTCATGTGATAAACAAAAATCCCATGACTGCAATCATGGAGCAGGAATTCTAACATCCTCCCCCATTTCATGCACTGTGTTGCAGTCATAAATGTAACTGCAACAACCATACAGATGTCATACACACAGTATACCCCTGTATCACCCGTTCCACCCTTGGAACTACCTGTAACTGGATTGGCTTTGGGCCTTACCATCTTGCACTGTTGATTGGTCTTGGTGTCATTGCCCTTCTGACTATCAGGAAGCCTGGCTTTGTTGGGATTCAAACCCTAGCCTCGTTCCTCTCTGAGGAATCAGTGTTGGCACACACGGCCTCTAGACGTGGTCCAGCTTCCTTCTCCAAGGAAACAGTGTCTAACCTTACAGCCTTTGGGCGTGGTTTTCCGTCCCTTGAGGACAAACTCTGTACCCCTTTCAAGACTCCGGGTTTCAAGACCTGTGTCGAGCCACTAACCACAGCTAAATCTGCAACAGCTGTGTTAGCAAACTCCTGAGCATACCTGGTGGGCTTCTCACCCTTCGTAGCTCCTCCTGATCTATGCATCTGGCGTATCTCCTCCACTGTATCAGTGGAACTCACCTCATGCACCTGCTGTTTATAACAGCAACAGACTTAGTATCTAAGTCTCCAGCAATGGGGTAACCTAGGAAAATACACACATTTCAGCAAGTTGTATGTGGATTGGCCGAGCTCTGCTACATACTTTACTTGTATTTACTTGTCTGTGTCTCTGTTACTTGCTGGCAGGCTCTGTAGGAATAGTGAGAGAGATTTGATTAATGGCTTTGTAAAGAGAGTGTACAGTTCTATGTGTTTATTACTGCTTATTATAATAAACACAAGTTGTAGTATTCATGTTGTTTTCCCTCATTGTCCGGAAGACAATGTCCAGTCTTCAAACAGCTTCCACGATTTGCGCACTCTGCTAGGCTCGTGCTGAGGAAGTGTGTGGGCACAGAGATTTATTAGCAGTCTTCGCTTGTAATAAAACTCTCATAGGTTCTATGCGTGAAAACAGCATATAGTGATATTAATCCCTGTCCACAAATATACTTATGAAGACATGAAAGTCAACTGGGTTTTTAATATTCAAACGAGGAAACTTAACTGTGGTTTGGCACAAAGTCTGGGCAGCAAAAGCAGGACTTGGTGCCATGCTCTATAATCAGTTGGCAATTCAGAAACCATGGTGTGAAGCACATTTCTAAACCATGGTCCATGCTGACTATAGTGTGGCACACCGAGATTGGCAAACTAAGGTTTACAAAACATGATTTGGGTTGGCTGATTTTCAGTGCCTGGGAAGCCTCGCCTGCAACACTTCCAAAAAGGGGCTTTGCAGGCACTGTTTATCAGCACATAAATACAGATACTGCTTATCTGAAAAAGTGTGCATGCACACAAAAGCTTATACCAGAACAAACTTTGTTGTTGTTTAGTCGTCTTAGTCGTGTTCGACTCTCCGTGACCCTATGAACCAGAGCATGCCTTGGAGAAACTCACTTTCCTCTCAAAGCTTCTCCTTTTTTATGTCCATGGAGTTTTCTTGGCAGAATACTGGAGTGGTTTGCCAGTTCCTTCTCCAGGTGGATCACATTTAGTCTAAACTCTCAGCTATGACCTGTCCATCTTGGGTGGCCCTGCATGGCATAGCTCATAGCTTCTCTGAGTTATTCAAGCCCCTTCGCCACGACAAGGCAGTGATCCATGAAGGGGAGAACAAACTTAGTTGGTCTATAAGGTGCTACTGGACAATTTTTTTTATTTTTATTTTTTATTTCGACCACGTCAGACCAACATGGCTACATACCTGAATCTATTTATCAGCAGGTCATCAGTGCCTGCAAAGCCCCTTTTCATCCAAGCTCCACCTTTACCTACTTCACACCTGATGGCTTCTATGTCATCAGATGTAGGTCAGTTGGTCATGGCTCGGCCAAAACAGCCTGGGGTCATAGGCCAAATGGGAGGCTTGGAGGACCTAGCTAGGCCTGGGGCGAGTGCCCTCCCCAAGCCACTAGCCCCAGCAGAAGTGGTCCTTAGTGAGCTGAAGGGTCTTTTTTGCCATCAGCGAGTGCGTTGTCGCAAGTTGCTGCCTCAGTAGTCTTTACTGGAGGTTTGTCTCTTTTGCCAGCAGCTGCAATTCCCTCTCAGGTGCTTGAGCATTTTTTGAGGAGAAAATGCTGCGAGCCTGATGGGGCCTTCGGGGTCACTTTCACTCTCCGAGGCTGGACCGCTTGTATTCCCTTGGTGGCCCTCTCTGGTTGGAGGCTTTGAAGGCCCACATTCAGGAGAGCTTGTTGTGGGGCCGGACCACTCTTCTGGGCTTGCAGGAGGACCAGAAGGCCTGATCTCAGGAGAGTCCCCATTCCCAGCAAGACTTGGAGAACCAGAGCCACCAACCCATCCTTCAAGTGCTGAGCTGTAGTCAGGGGAACTGGCGGCGTCCCTCTCCAATCTTGAGGGACCACTTTCAAAACTTAAGGAGCATTCGCTTAAGGAGCTGATGTGCCTAAAGGCTGAGGGCTCAGGGTGCTCCAAGGAACCTTTCGCCACCAGAGAAGCTGAGGAGGCGCTCCTGTGTCCAGAGCGCGATGGACTGGTGCTGTCTGAGGCGGGGGTGGATTCTGATTCTGAAGAACTGTTGTACTGAAAGCCAGGAGAACTGGCCGATTCCATGGAGGGTGAGAGACTTGTGTAGTCATAGAAGGAGGCGCTGCTGTATCCAGACGGCTGCCTCGCTGGAGGGAAAGAAGGCACTGGCTGGGCTGCTCTCCGCAGTTCCTTTTTCTCCTTGAGATGGTTCTGCATCTCCCTCTGTGGTGTGCCTACATGGGCAAAGGAACCGATTGATTAGGGAAGTAAAAATATGGTTAGCCAAGGGAGAGGAAATGCAGGGAGGAGGAGGGGTGGGGTGGGGACATGCACAAATACAGCCGCATGGGAGAACTACCCCGCTTGGGGGGGGGTGTCATGGGTCTAGACCAAAGGCCCCTGTTTTATCCAGTATCCCATTTCAAGCAGTGGCAAGGCAAGAAGGTGATAGACCATGGGTAGGCAAACTAAGGCCCGAGGGCCGGATCCAACCCAATAGCCTTCTAAATCCGGCCCACGGACGGTCTGGGAATCTGTGTTTTTACATAAGTAGAATGTGCCCTTTTATTTAAAATGCCTCTCTGGGTTATTTATGGGGCATAGGAATTTGTTCAATTTCCCCCCCAAAATATAGTCCGGCCCCCCACAAGGTCTGAGGGACAGTGGACCGGCCCCCTGCTGAAAAAGTTTGCTGACCCCTGTGATAGACCATCCTCCTCTAAAAATGAAGGTCCTATTCTTGGGTATCATGGCTAATGGCTGCTGATTCCACCATGATTCCACCCTCACCCGGCATTTTATTCCCAGCCAGAGGTGTCTGGCAATCCCACGAGCAGCCCATGAAAGCAACCGCCCTCCCCAGGAAGTGTGTGTGTGCTTGTAGGTGCTCGGCACAAACACACACTGGTTTTGCTTAGGTGTGCTCCACTCGCCCTCCAAAGTCACAGAAGATACAGGTGGACAGGAATGCAGCTACGTCTGTGCCTTGGGCCTGAAATCCAGGCCTTGCACTGTGCAGGGGCTCACAAATGGCAACCCAAAGAGTGGCAGGTGATAGGAGCAGCGACAAACAGGTCTGGGATCGGTGCATGTGTGTCACTATGGGCATCTCATTGCCCATCGGAATGAAGCTGGTCTCCGCTGCATGATTCCATTTTTACTTTACAAACCAAAACTTTTTTTTTAGTCAGGAGACAGCCAGCTGGACATGCACATGGTTGCATTACCTTCATTTTATATTTTAAAATGTTATTATTTCCTACAACCAAATACTGTAGTCCTTTCCCCCAAGTAAAGGTGATCAGCAGCAGGGCAGCAGAAGCAAACCCCAATTTATTCGTTGGATATAATTGTGCTACGAGTTAAAAATGTGGAACTGCACATGCTCAGAGTATGCCTTTACATCCCCATCAGAATGCAGTGTCTATTGGTGAATTCTCAGGAGGGTATGAAAATGTGCTGAGGTGGGGGGTGGGGTAGACCAGATCAGGACTTCCCCACCCCTCTATCTTTCCCTAGCTGCACCACCATTGGGGCGGCTGGGCAGCTTACTTAATACAGGGAGGGCCATGCAGTGAGCCAGTGTGGTGTAATGGTTAGAACATGGGTAGGCAAACTAAGGCCTGGGGGCCGGATCCAGCCCAATTGCCTTCTAAATCTGGCCTGCGGATGATCCAGGAATCAGTGTGTTTTTACATAAGTAGAATGTGCCCTTTTATTTAAAATGCCTCTCCGGGTTATTTGTGGGGCTAGCCTGGTGTTTTTACATGAATAGAATGTGTGCTTTTATTTAAAATGCATCTCTGGGTTACAGTGGTACCTCGGGTTACAGATGCTTCAGGTTACAGACTCCGCTACCCCGGAAATAGTACCTCGGGTTAAGAACTTTGCTTCAGGATGAGAACAGAAACCGTGTGGCGGCAGCGGGAGGCCCCATTAGCTAAAGTGGTGCTTCAGGTTAAGAACAGTTTCAGGTTAAGAACGGACCTCCAGAACGAATTACGGTAAGTTCTCAACCCGAGTTACCACTGTATTTGTGGGGCATAGGAATTTGTTCAATTTATTTTTTTCAAAATATAGTCCGGCCGCCCACAAGGTCTGAGGGACAGTGGACCGGCCCCCTGCTGAAAAAGTTTGCTGACCCCTGGGTTAGAATATCGGACTAGGACCTGGGAAACAAGTGTTCAAATCCTCACTTGGCCATAGAGCTCCCTGGGTGACCTTGGGCCAGTCATTTCCTCTCAGTCTAACCTACCTTACAGGGTTGTTGAGGGGATTAACTGAGGAGGGGGGAAGACCAATGGACTCATTAGCAGGTTTTGAGTAAACATTTACAAATAAGAAAATTTATATAAATTATAAGATTAAATATAAAAAAATGAATCGAAAGGAAATAAGCAGGATTTGATATTGTGTTAAAATAAACAAGAAAAGGAGGTTGAGGGAAGTCTGGGGGAGGAGGGGAGGGGAGGGACAATTTGGGATTGGTGAATTTATGATATATGTTATAATGTAATTAGGGGGGAAGGAAAATGTAATAAAAATTATTTACAAAAAAAAATTGAGGGGGGGACGGACCATGTATACTCAGTGCTGAATGACTCAATAGGCAGACCAAAGAAGTGCTTAGGGCAACCAGAAAAGTTAAGGACACCCTCCAAAAATGAGTACATTTTTTAAAAAGTATCAAATCAGCCATTATGTGGAAAACCAGAACTTTGTTAGATTTCCTTATCCTCTGCTGCACACTCGTTCCCCATTTCCTGTTCTTTTAGTTACTTATACCCACCTAAAGAAAGGGTCATGCTACTGATATAGGTAGAAAAAATATTTTTGGGAATTATTATTTTTTAACCATTTAGTACATGGTAGGGTTGCAACCCTAGTATACTGGGGGTCACCCTAATCTTTTCTGTGATTAGGGTCTTACTCCATATGCACCCACTTAACCACTTGGATTGGCGAAAATGGCACTGTTGCAGATACCACCTAATACCCATTCCGCCTTTCTTTGTAAGCTCCCTGCCTATTGACATCACCTTCACTTCCCTGTACTCTTTTTGGCGCCTGCTAGAAGAGTTTTGTTTAGGCAAGACTGCCTAGGTGTTTAGAAATTTGGTGTGAGATTCAACCTGTGGCTATTTCAGCTTCTCCAAAGTCAAAATTATTAGTAGCGGTATTTTTATTATTGATAATTTCATTGTCCCATCTTTATTTGTAAACCACTTTGAAGGTTTAAGAAAACACCAATGAAGCGGTGTTTAAATTTTATAAAACAAAGTTCTCACTCTGGCCTTGTATATACACCACCATGAGCTTTTTGGAGAAAAAGGTGGAGAGATAGATAGAGAAAGAAAGAAAGAAAGAAAGAAAGAAAGAAAGAAAGAAAGAAAGAAAGAAAGAAGCTAGATTGAATTGCCCATTCCGGCTCGGACTCTGCTGGGGGGCCGCGACTTATTCAAGCCAGCAGGAGGAGCAGCAGCAGCAACAGGGCCGGAGAGAGGGCGGCGCTTGGCAGCGGCAAGCCGGAGCGGCCCAGCGAGCGCGGCTAGGCTTCCCTCTCCGTCGGGGCGAATGTCCTCCGGGCTGCGGCGGGCGGCCCTGCTGGGATTCGGCCTGCTCCTCTGCAGAGCGGCTCGAGCGGGGCGCTGCCCGGCCCCGCGTTGGCCGCCTTCGCCCGGAGCCATGCAGAGCGCGGCGGCGTCGGGGGCCGCGCAGGGACTCAAGTACCTCGGGTGAGACTGGAGGGAGAGGAGAGGAGAGCCGGGGCCCAGCGGCTTTTTCCTGGAGGGCCGGGTTCGAGCCGCGGCCCCGCGTACCTCTCGGACTGGTTCGGAGGACCGTCCTGGAAAAAAGCCGGGGAGGGAAGGGAGAGCTAGCAGGAGAAGCAGCAGCACGCGCTGCTCTTGCAACCACCAGCGGTTTCGGTTCAAGGGGGATGAAGGCCTGGGGGTGATTTGCAAAGACCTGGTCAGTGGACACGGAAGGAGGCCGAGGTTGAGCCCCACCCGCCGCCGCCGCCACCTGTGCTCAGCTTCAGGATTCCGGAGTGCAACTTGTAAAGGACTGGCAGTGCCCTCGAGCATGCACAGAGCGCACTTCCTGGCTGCAGCCTCGCTCATCCGATTAGCGAGACTGTGACATCAAGGCGCCCTGCGTTGTTGTTGTTGTATATTTAGATCAAATAATTGATTTCTTATTCTGCTTTCCCAGGGTGGGTGGGTTACAACGACATGAAAACACAAGATTAAAATCGGTTAAAACTTTTTTGGGGGGGTTGGCTGGCTGAAGAGCGGGGTAAGATCTGTCAAAGTATTGTAGGGATATGAAATCGTGTGCAGGATTCCAGATATGAGGGGGGGGGAGGTTAGCAACCAATATAATGCAGCAAGTAAGGATAAGAAAAACATCAGGGAGGGAGGGGTGAATGATATATTCTATGTGAATTAAATTTGTTAAAACCTTTGAAAATCTAATAAAAAAATCAATATTTAAAAAAAAAGTGGGGTACAAATGCCACAAAAAATAAATAAGCAAGCAAACAGAATAGGGTAGGGCTTTATATGTTTGTATAGATAGATACTGATCCATCTGGGGTGGTGGGACCTGTGGTACTCCAGATGTTGCTGTTGGACTCTTGACTCCTGGCCAGTGGCCTGGTTTTGATGGGATTTGTAGTCCAGCAACATCTGGAGGGCCAGAGGGTCCCTGCTTCCTGCTGTGGGTGCCACCCATTCTAGTCAATTCTTTCCCCCAGATCAAGAAAGCACAGTCACACAAACTTCACTTTCCCAAGCAATCTGGGTAAAACTCCAGTCCATGAGATCTGAGCCTTTGAAAACACACAGAGAGCTGAAAAAGGACGCGGGAAAGGCGGTCACTCTTCCAACTTCCTCCTCCGGCTCTATTTGCTTTTCAAGCAGGTGGGGAAATAACCACCCTCCCTGCCTCATGGCCCAGGGGGCAGAGAGTGGGCAAGAACTAGAGGCACCGTTGTGTCCATAGATGCCATGTCGCCAGCACCTGCCTAAAAGTTGTTATGTGTGATGTGTCGCCAAGGGGGTTTAAAAAAGGGTAAAGGGGACCCCTGACCATTGGGTCCAGTCGTGACCGACTCTGAGGTTGCGGCACTCATCTCGCTTTATTGGCCGAGGGAGCCGGCGTACAGCTTCCAGGTCATGTGGCCAGCATGACTAAGCCGCTTCTGGCAAACCAGAGCAGCACACGGTTTAGGATCCCACTTTAAACCGTCATGGCTTCTCCCAAAGAATCTTGGGAGCTGTTAGAATACAGTTATTCCCTTCCCAGAGCTGCTGTTCCCAGAGTTCCCTGGGAAGAGAAATGGGATGTTAAACAGACCTGTTCTGTGAGGGGAATAGGGGGTCTGCCAGCAACTCTCAGCACCCATAACAAACTACACTTCCCAGGTTTCTTAGTGGGAGGCTATGTCTGTTTAAAGTGGTACGATTCTGCTTTATATGTATAGTACAGATGGGACCTGCCCCTTCCCTCTGCCTCTGCCTGACCTTCTTCATAAAGCTGTTGTGTACAGGAAAGGTGTGTGGATAAAGAATGAAAGTGGGGATACAAGACTTAAACGTATCTCAGGCAAAAGAAATATGAGGATAATGTTGTGCTAAGAGATTCTGTCTTCTCCTGGCCAGCCAGAAGGAAGCTCAAGCCATAGACCAAGAACTGTTTGATGAGTACAAATTCAGCGTCGATCAGCTGATGGAGCTGGCTGGGTTGAGCTGCGCCACAGCCATTGCAAAGGTAGGGGTTTTGGGCATAAAGAACAAGTCGAATGGTGCCGAAAGATGGGGCTGAAGGGATGGCCGTGCCTGAGAATGACCTGTGGAACTACTTGCTGCAGGATGCTGCAGAACAGGGATGGGGAAACCTATGATCCTCTGCGTGTTCTCAGACTACAACTCCCACCATCCTTGGCCATTGGCCTTTCAGGATGGAGCTGATAGGAGTTGGACTCAAAAAACCTGTGGAGGGCCACATTAGGATGAAAGGGGCACAGCACCACCAACCTCAGCCTGTGCTCTGCCAGCCCCCTTTTGCCTGCCTTCTTAGTTACAATGGTCCCAGGGGAAGCCGTGGCTGTCACCTTCCTCCTCTGTAGTCCCAGTGCTGCTTTTGTAGAATTCAACCGCGAGGCGGATGGAGACGAAAGTGGAATTAGCTGGCTCCATGCGCCTTTGGCTCTGGTTCTGACTGCTGTTGGGTTCCTTGGCTTCCACCCCACCAGCCCCATTGCCCTTCCCGGTTTATCCCATACTTCCTCCACAGAGATTCCTGATGCATCTTTGTGAACTCATAAGGACTAGAAGAATGCACTTAAAAAAATAAAAGTGAGGTGCTTGAAATACTGAATTCTCCATCAGATGATGATGATAATAATAGTAATTCATTTCTTATACCACACCCATCTGACTGGGGTGCCCCAGTCACTCTGGGTAGCTTCAAACAAAAATACCAATTAAATTGGTGCTAACCTTTAAAGTCCTAAACGGCCTTTGCCCTGTATACCTGAAGGAGCGTCTCCACCGCCATCATTCAGCCTGGACACTGAGGTCCAGCTCTGAGGGTCTTCTGGCGGTTCCCTCACTGTGAGGTTACAGGGAACCAGCCAGAGGGGGTAGTGGCACCCACCCTGTAGAATGCACTCCCATCAGATGTGAAAGAGATAACCAATTACATGACTTTCCAAAGACATCTGAAGGCAGCCCTGTATTGGGAAGTTTTTGATGCTTGATGTTTAAGCTGTGCTTTTATATTATGTTGGAAGCCGCCCAGTGACCAGGGAAACCTAGCCAGATGGGTGGCCTGTTGTTGTTATTAAACAAAGCAACAACGAAAAAGTCAAACAAATGAGAATAATACTTCAATTGATACTTCATTCCACGGGTTATTTGCATCATCACAGAATTCATCTCTTCACAGAAAACACTTATGTTTGTCTTCTCCTTTTCCCACAAGGCCTACCCAGTCGGCTCCACCATTAACCAGCCAACCGTCCTGATTGTTTGTGGCCCTGGAAACAACGGAGGAGATGGCCTGGTTTGCGCCCGGCACCTGAAAATGTTTGTGAGTGTCCTGCTCCTTTATCCTTCAGTAGAAATCTAGGGGCATGTTTGCAGACAGTGCTTCATTCTTACGCAGAATTGGGCTGGGGGTTGAGCTTGTGGATGTGGTTAATGTGGCATATAATGTAGGAACTGGCTGTTTTCAATGGAGATAAGAAAAGCCTTCTAGATCAGGAAAATGGCCACCTGCTCCAGTATCCTGTTCTCACAGTGGCCTGTAGGAAACCCACAAGCAGGACCCAAGCACAAGAGCACTCTCCCGTCCTCTGGTTTCCAGCAACTGGTATTCAGAAACATTACTGCCTCTGACCATGGAGGCAGAGTGTAGCTTTGGTAGCTAGTAGCCATTGATAACCTGAAAGGACATGTGAGAAACATAGCTCTCTTAGATGATCTAGTGATAAGTCAGTCGACCTTCTACAGCCCTACAAATCACATTTTCTTGCCATGGTACAAGTGTTCTACTGGCAGTTGACTGTGACACTATTCCTTCCCCCAGAGAATTCTGGGAGCTGTAGTTTGTTAAGAGAGTGAGAATTAGGAGATTGCTATTCCCCACAGAGAGCTACAATTCTCAATCCATATTCACAGGAACTCTTAAGAACTGTTGCTCTCTGGGGTGAAAAGGGTTCTCCTAACAACTCAGTACCCTTAATGAATTACACATCCCAGAATTCCTTGGGGGAAGCCATGACTATGTAAAGTATCATAGTGCTTAATATGCATTGTGTGGATGTGGCCAAAGTATGGACTGTTCAAATCCAATGGTTTGTTGTCCATTAAGTGTCACCACCTTGGGGAGGTGACCAGTGACGTCCCTGCAGATGCTCTCAGTGATCAAGCTACGATACCAGGTGTCAGATGGCTCCTGAGGTAGCTTGGACCTAAGTTGTTTGGGGCTTCGTCAATCAATACAGTTGTGCAAATCTTCGTAATTTGCGTTGAGGACCTCTTCAGGTTATAACCCAGGATACAGTGGTACCTCGGGTTAAGAACTTAATTTGTTCTGGAGGTCTGTTCTTAACCTGAAACTGTTCTTAACCTGAGGTACCACTTTAGTAATGGGGCCTCCCGCTGCCGTGCAATTTCTGTTCTCATCCTGAAGCAAAGTTCTTAACCCGAGGTACTATTTCTGGGTTAGCGGAGTCTGTAACCTGAAGCGTCTGTAACCCGAGGTAGCACTGTATAAGTGTTCCAGATAAATAAATGAATATCATGTCTCTCTTGCAGGGCTATGAGCCAACGCTGTTTTACCCTAAACGCCCCAACAAGCCACTTTTTGAAGGTTTAACCACGCAGTGCAAGAAAATGGACATCCCATTCCTTTCGGAGTTCCCATCAGAAGTAGGTAGACCACCACCTCTAAAACCCAGAAGAATAGGTGTTGGATCAGGTTAAGAAACACCATGAACCCACATCTTTATGGGCAGTAGCCAAAATATTAAGGTCAGCAAATAGGGGAAATAAACTGGAATGCAATGTAAACTTGAGGTGGGGAACCCCGAGACTAGCTTTGTGGGCCCATATGGAAATTACGGGGAATGAAACTCCAACTTGTTTGGTATGATATACAGTGGTACCTCGGGTTAAGTACTTAATTCGTTCCGGAGGTCTGTTCTTAACCTGAAACTGTTCTTAACCTGAAGCACCACTTTAGCTGCGCTGCCGGAGCACAATTTCTGTTCTTATCCTGAAGCAAAATTCTTAACCTGAAGCACTATTTCTGGGTTAGAGGAGTCTGTAACCTGAAGCGTATGTAACCTGAGGTACCACTGTACTGCTGGCTCAACTAATAGTGCCAGATATATGCAAGAAATGATTGATGTGTGCTGTTGGTAGTTTGCGACTCTGTGCAGGTCAGTTGAGGAGTGACTAGGTTATCAACCTCACAAGTGGGGAAGAAGGCAAATGACATCCCTATCAGGAAAGGTTTAAAGCTCTCTGCCTACACCAATGTGTGTCTTAACTTTTCATTCCTTTTTTCCTGCTACTGTCAAAATTGGTTGGGTTTGGCAGGAGGGGGTGGGTCTGATCTGTGCCTGGGGTGGGTGTCACAGAATGTGAAGGTCAAGAGTTGAAATTATATTTACGATTCGGCAAAATCTGCATTAAGGCACCTATATAACCTCCTTGATTCTAGCCACATTTCACACACCTATCGGCTCGTTTGCAGCCCTACTTCTCATGTTCCTGTGATTTTTTTTCTTTGTCTGGAATGTTTCCTTGAACTCTTGTTAGTGCCACCTGGTATTCTGGAGGATAGAGAGGTTTGGGGGAGTTGCACTGAAACTAGACTACTCTCCAAAAGCTAAATTTGCTTTGACTTTTTGGACCACTTTTGTGTTTTGTCTCGTCACACACATACACCCTCCCTGTTATCTGAATGAGAATTTGGCCTTTGAGGCCATTGGTCACAGCCCATGTATTACACTAACCTGTTGCCTCTCGTTTCGTTGGCAGGCTGCATTCATTGACGAGCTCTATGGCCTGGTGGTGGATGCCATTTTTGGGTTCAGCTTCCAAGGGGCTGTGCGAGAGCCCTTTGGCACCATCCTGAGCACTCTGGAGAAGGTCACTGTCCCCATTGTGAGCATCGATATCCCTTCTGGTATGTTGGGCCAAGGATGCTCTCTGAGCTGGGTACCCAAATATTCTTTCAGCTTCCGTGTAATGTAGCACATGGATTTCTTTTTTGCATGCTCCATCTCCAGCCCCCGCTTCAAACTCTGCAGCCAAGACTGAGCCCAAAGGAAGCTGAACTCTTAACCTGCACAAGTTTAGGCAGATTTGAGCTTTGTGTTTTGCAGTAACTCATTTTGTAAATAGAAATAATAATGATACTTTGCATAATGTATATCTAGTTACACAGATAGAAGCAAGGAGTAATTCGCAGCCTTGGGGACTAGAAGCCACCAGCAAGTTTTGTTTTACTTTTTTTAAAAACAGTTCTTAACGAACTCTCCCAGTCCCATATTCTGTGCCATGTGCATATATTCAGGGCTGCTTATGGCACTTTGCACCACTCTTTGTGGGTGAGTTACCTGGCTTTTATAAAGATTATGCAACCATGTTTGGAATTCTCAGTCGTCAGCGAAGGTTTCCTTAGTCCTCGGGCTGCAGCACTTTCACACCCCCGCCACCATTTTGAAACATTTATTTACAAAATAAATTGGGCGGGGGGGGGGGAATTAAAGCTTCCAGTCTGCTCTGGGTTTGATGGCAAATGAAACCAATTTTGTTTGGGGTCTCCAATTTGGAGGATGACCGTTTGCTGCTTGAGGGTTGTTGACAATTAATGGATCTAAGTTAGTACTTTTATTTTAGGTAGCTGTATTCTTTGATTGTATATCGAATCTGAATAGTGCGGCTTGGGGACTTTTTGGTTTTATTCCAGATTTGTTTTGTTTAGATGCCTTAGGGCATTTTAGAGTATGAATATTTTAATTCAATACAGCAATTGCAGAACGGTGTGCAATTTCATGACACACCCACATGGAACCTTGGTTTGAGCCCCGCCCCCCAGCTTCCTGGGTGGGACCTGGTTAGCTGCCCTTCCATTTCACATTCCAAAACTGGGGTGGAGAACCTCAGAGAGATAGTTCTTGTATTGCTGATTTCAGGGTGCTAAGAGGTAGTAAGGAATAAATGTTTCTGCAAAATTTGGAGAACATGCTACTACCATTAGGCTGGCTCATGGAAGCACCAGCTGCAACTTCAGAGTAAAATCAGGCTTTGGGGCTTTATTAAAATGTTTGTATGTTGCTGTGCAGTCATTAATCATAGATTCATATAGAGTTGGAAAGGACCACGAGGATCATCTAGTCCAACCAGAATTTTGAATTCTGCCTCATGATACCGGTTTTGCAGAAATGGGTCCAGCCAGCCGTGGATCAATTTGGCAGCCGCTTAACAGTCAGCTGTTGGATTTGTAATTTGGAACATACTGAATTAACCAGGGTTTTCATTTAGACATTGTGACTTTGTATCAAAACTCCCTACGCATTAGATCAGGCATAGGCAAACTCCGGCCCTCCAGATGTTTGGGACTACAATTCCCATCACCCCTAGATAACAGGACCAGTTGTTAGGGATGATGGGAATTGTAGTCCCAAACAACCGGAGGGCCGGAGTTTGCCTATGCCTGCATTAGATCCTTATTTTAAACATTTGACGACTCCAGCCCCATTATTTGTTGTTTCAGTTTCAGTTCTTGTTAAAGAACCTCATTTTTATCCTTCTGTTGAGATCCCACTCACTCAGCCAAGCACAGCCTTTCCCTCCCTACAATACGGAGATAATTCTGACCTACCTTACAAGGTTGTTGTAAGAGAATGTACATGGGAGCACCTTAAAACATTCAAAAAGCCACTCTATGAATGCTGAGGTGGTGTCAGAGACTGGCTAGACAAGGAGGAGTGGTGGCTACCAGTTGTCCAGGAAGTACCACTGGGGAGGAGGGAGATTTTGAGTTTGACTCAGACTGGTCCACAGAGGGAACCATCAGAAAAGTCTTGGAGCCAGAGAGTAGGGGCGAAGGGGAGAGGCACAGTGTGGGCACAGACCCTGATAGGGAGAGAGCAGAAGATACATCTTCCACGTTGCAGGACAGTCCTCTTCCGGCCCCTTCTCTCCCCCCCCCCCAGCTCAAGAAAGGAGAGCTAAAAAACAGAAAGGGCAGATAAGAAAAGCTGAATGATGCCAGAAGAATGTACAGAGAGAAACACTTAAAGGACGGGAAGGGTTTCCAGCTTCTGCAACTTTCATACCTTGAGAGCCTCGGTGTCGGGTATCTCTGGTTGCGAAGCAATAAAGTTCTTTGCCTTCAAGTCGCGTGCTTCTTCCTGATTTGCAGCCTGGTCGGCAAGGCTATTCTGGCAACCTGACAGATGGTAAGCATCTTCCTTCTACGGCAGGCATGGCCAAACTTGGCCCTCCATGCGTTTTGGGACTACAATTCCCATCATCCCTGACCACTGGTCCTGTTAGCTAGGGATGATGGGAGTTGCAGTCCCAAAACATCTGGAGGGCCAAGTTTGGCCATGCCTCTTCTACGGAATAAAGGACTACTTGCACACCAAGGGAGTTACAAAGAAGTTTGATATTGGCTGCTGCGTTGTAGCACATTGATAAACCACATGTCTCTATGTAAACCAACCTTCCTTGACCTGATTCTTCCTAGACGTTTTGGACTGCAACTTCCATCGGTTCCAGCCAGCACACCCCTGGAGTGGGGGCTGATGGGAGTTGTAGTCCAAAGCAGCGGGAGGGCACGCCAGGTTAGGGAAAGTGGCTGTGAACTTATTTCTCAAGCACTTGTCCTTCTTTGATTTCAGGTTGGGACGTGGAGAAAGGGAACCCCGATGGGCTGCAGCCAGACATGCTGATCTCTCTCACTGCGCCCAAGAAGGCTGCAAAGCAGTTCACTGGACGCTACCACTTCCTAGGCGGCAGATTCGTGCCTGCAGCGCTGCAGAAGAAGTACTCCCTTAACCTCCCGGAGTACCCAGAGACAGACTGCGTCCTACGGCTCTCCTAGCCGCTGCACCCCAAGCTGGGGAGACATCTGGATCAGAGGAGGAATTGAAATTAGGTTGGGTTAAGGTTTGGTGGTTCATTATTTGGAGTTACAAGTTAGGCCTTAAGAAGTAGCCTTGGATCGTAAGTGGACACACAGCAATTGAGAGCAATATGGGAAGAGATCAGAAGACTTTTGCGACAGCTTTAGACCAAACAAACCAAAAAAGGCTGCCTTCCATCACATTGTAAAGTATGATTAGTGTGTGGGAAAAGGAACAACAGTGCAGATGTGGGGAGCCTTTGGCCTTCCAGATGTTGCTGAACTAGAACTACCACTACCACCTTCCCTGGCCGTCGGCCATGCTGGCTGTGGCTGATGGGAGTTGTAGTTCAGCAACATCTGGAAGGCCCCTTAGGAGAATCTCATTCTTTTCCTTTGTGCAAGGAAGAGACTGTTTTATAGACTGTAACGAACTGAGAGAACTTTCATTTTCCTTCAATAAAAATGGTGTGATTAAAAAATAACTTTGCTTAAAAAAACACACCACCCAACTGTTGTTGTTGTACTTGTGGACATCCTTTAGGGCAGAGCTGGGCAGCCAACCGTGCATGGACCAATCCAGCCCAGCTCCTTAGTTTGGGGCAGCTCCATGGCAGAACTCTACACTTGCTGCACACAAGAAATGGGAGAGCAGAAACACTGGACTTGTGCGTGGAGGAAAGTGCCTCTGCTGGATATTGGCTACACCAAATGTCCCTGTTGGGTTAATGCCCTGATAACCTACTTCTGGGCATCTATTAGCAGCCAATAGATGGCCATTATGAAAAATGGGGGTTGCAGCCAACATTTGTCCCATTCGGAGCAGATTCATTTAAATAAGTAGACCGTTGTGTCTGTTGATCTTACTAGGATTAACACTGGATGGAACCCGTATTCACACGTTTAAAGCACTTTAAACAGTCATGGCTTCCCTCAAAGAATTCTGGGAGTAGTAGGTTGTCAAAGGTACTGCACGTTGTTAAGAGACCACCATTCCCCTACCAGAGTTCCCATGGAAGAGGGATTGATTGGTTAAACCACTCCGGGAACTGTAGCTCTGGGAAGGGAATCGGTGTCTCCTAACACCCAGCACCCATAAAAAAACCCTACAACGTCCATGATTATTTGTGGGGAGCCAGCAGGACTGTTTATAGTGGTATTGTGGGGCTTTAGCTGTATGATGTGAATGGGACCCATGTTGGGACTTTTGGTGTGATGTAGCAGTGCTGTTACTTCACCTTCAAGCAAAATTGAGCCATGCACTGTTACATTTTTAATACCCATTTACCTAACTTCCTAGAGCAGGTTTTGACCAGACCCAGGGGAGGTCTGTTCCCTTTGCAAAAGGGATTCACTGGATACAGTGGTGCCTCGCAGGACGAAATTAATTCGTTCCACGAGTTTTTTCGTCTTGCGAATTTTTCGTCTTGCGAAGCACGAAATCCCATAGGAATGCATTGAAATTCAATTAATGCGTTCCTATGGTCAAAAAAAGTCCAAACAAAGCCAAATTTGGTACAACAAGAGTTTATTAAGTGCTCTTTAAAGTCACACATACTGTAAAGAGCATTTCAAAAATTGAAGGAACTATAAATTCAAAAATTGAAGGAACAATAAAAATCATAAAAATTCAGAAAAAAACCACACAAGCTTCCAGATTCTTGCAAACCCCTCCTCAACTGTTCCCCCAGCCACCCACCACACAGAAATTCAAACCCAGAATTTTTTTTAAAAAACAGCAGAGTGGCCCAATGGTCACAAAAAATCAGAAAAATGCAGAAAAAAAACACACAAGCTTCCAGATTCTTGCAAACCCTCCCCAACACCAAGTCCTTGAATTCCAAACACCCCAACCCAAAATCCAAAAAACCCAAAAAAAGTTTTAAAAGTTTAACTTACCAAATGGCTGCAAAAGAAGTTTTGGAAAAGCTTCAAAAATCGCCAAAGTCTTCAAAAACCTCAAAAAAGGCTACCACACCGCGTGCTATGAGTTGCTCCTCGAAGTCAAGTTGCAACTGCACCTCTTCAAGCAACGGTTTGAACGGTTTTACGAAAAAGGAAACAAACTTGCAAGACGTTTTCGTCTTGCGAAGCAAGCCCATAGGGAAATTCGTCTTGCGAAGAAGCTCAAAAACCGCAAAACCCTTTCATCTAGCGAGTTTTTCGTCTTGCAAGGCATTCGTCTTGCGGGGCACCACTGTACAACCCCCTGCTTCTTTGTGTTTTTGCCACCTTACTCTTCCAGCTGCCGATTCTTTACAAGAAAAAAATTAAGCAACCAGCCTCCATGACACAAAGTGCGCAAATGAGCTTAGGCAAGAGCAGGGGTCAGCAACCTTTTTCAGCCATGGGCCGGTCCACTGTCCCTCAGACCATGTGGTGGGCCAGACTATATGGGGGGGGGGTGAATGAATTCCTTTGTCCCAGAAATAACCCAGAGATGCATTTTAAATAAAAGCACACATTCTACGCATGTAAAAACATGCTGATTCCCAGAGCATCCGAGGGCCGGATTGAGAAGGCGAATGGGCCACATCCGGCCCATGGGCCTTAGGTTGCCTACCCCTGGGCCAGAGGGTGCTGTTGACACAGCAAGTTTCTAATGTGGGACAGCAGCGATGGGATCCAGCAGGAACTGGGCTCTAAGAATTTCAGCGAGCAGAAGACCACCACCACAATTCCCTTTGCTATCATCCCACTTTTATTTTGATTTCCTCTTTGGCTTCTCTCTGTGACTGACCATTTCTGTCCATTTCTCTGCAATTTCTACCAACGGTCCTTTCTTGCTTTCTCCATCCTCCCGGTGCTTCCTTTTCTTCTTCTTTTTCTTCTTGTTGGGTTTCTCCTCCTCTTGCTCTTCCCGGGCATCTTCCTCATCTACTGTCACTTCCAAGCTCTCATGAACCGCAGCCTCGCCTTCTCGTTCTTTGCGTTTCTTGGCTTTCTTTTGCTGTGGGCTGCTGCCATTCAAGGCAGCCTCAGTTGCCTCCTGCTTTCCTCCCTTTTGCTGGACGTAGCGAGCCAAGAAAGCTTTTTCCTGTTCCTCCAGCCGTGCCAGCTTTGCTGTCATGGTTAAGCCATGCCGAGCCCCTCTGGAGAGAGCACAGAACAGACATTGGGAATGGCAGTAGCAACTCCAGCCACCAAAGCTTTCTTAAGCTTCTGAACTTTGCTCATGACTTCTCCAGGTTCTCCAACTGGTAGACATGGGCCAAATCTGGCTTGCGGAAAAGTGTCACTTAATCCACCAGTGGCCAGTGTAAGAAAATAGGAGAAGAGCTTCACCTACCCCCATGCACTTAATACCACCCACTGCACATCTAGCTGCAGAGAGGCCTTAATCAACCTAGTGCCACACAGATAATCTGAACTACAACTCCCATCAGCAAAGGGAGGGGGGAAGAAGAGGGTGTAGTAAAAAAATCTGAAGGCCACAGGGTTGGCAAAGGCTGTTCTAAACACGTTATTTATTTCATAATATTTATATACCACTTGACAGTAAAAACAAAACCTCAAAGTGGTTTACAAACAGAATAAAACAATAAAATTATCAGTGGAGCCAGCCATTTAAAACATGCAAATCTGTTAGCTGAGAACAGATTAAAACACATGTAAACATTCTACGTATCTAGGTAGGCTAGTCTAAACAAATGTGGTTTTAGCTGGCGCCAGAAAGAGTATAGCGAAAGCACCCACCTGGTGTCAATAGGAAGAGAGTTCCAAAGTGTAGGTGCTGCCACACTAAAAAAACCTGATTTCTTACAAACGCAGAATGGGCATTAACGTGAGACCTGTAATTCTGCCAGTTCCGCAGATCAAAGTGGTGGTCAAGTGGGAATATATGAGGTATGACGATCTCACAGGTAAACTGGCCCAAGTTGTTAAAACTCAACCCTCCCCATAAAATTGGGGGCACATCAGCTAACTCTCATACCATACTCACTTATGGGCTGTTCTTCCTCCACAGGCCTGGACCAGCTCTTCATCAGTCAGCCTGGGAAAGAGAAAAGCATGTCTTAAGGAGTGAGCAGCCTGCAGCTAAGGAGAATACACACACAGCCCCTCAAGGCCAAAAAAAGGGGGCGGGAAGTGTGGTTAGACCTCTTTGCCAACCAAGTGGATCTAGGCCAACCCAACCCAATCTCAACCCCTGGTTACCTCCTGGCTGTAGATAGGTCCAGTTGCTCATCTTCATCCTCTTTGTCGCTGTCTGAAGAGGAGACGACATATACAGGCTCTTCTCCACCAGATGTCAATGTAGCTGCCTGGAAGTGGGGCATAGATGGGTCAGAGGTGGCCAAAAATGTATCTTTACTCACTGTTAAGCCACATTCTGAATGGAAATGGCCCTTCCATAGGAGATCCCTTTAAACTGGGAGTGTCTGAGCCCAAAACTTCCTGCATGCAGCGCAGGGGCTCTTCCAGTGAGCTACAAACCATTCCAAACATGCCAAGCCCCACCATCAACACCACAAGTTTGAATCTTTAACATCTCACTACCTTCACAAAGCGCCCATAGACCAAGTTCTTCTCCCCATGCGCTTTACGGGGCTTTTTATTCGTTATCACTCCATCTTGCTCAGATACCTTTTTCACTTTGACACCGTCCTAGAGGGGAGGAAGAAGAGAGGGGCAGCTGTATTCAGAGCTCAAAGCCTGAAAAACAACAATCACCACATGCTGTTGGGAATAGGCAGTGTGAGGAGGCACCTCTCTTTGGGGCAGGGGGGCAACTCAGAAACCAGGGGCAGCAGCAGTGGCTGACCAGAGGACAGGGAAGAGGAGGAGAGGGGAGAGGAGGCTGATCAAAAAAGGGCGAGAGGCTGCCAGCTCTGCAGGCAAGGGGTGACATAACTGGGCTCCTGAGGCCCACAGGGGTGATGCAGAAAGAATGTAGTTGGTCAAGGGAGCAGTGGACTCAAAAAAGTTGAAAACCTCTGACCTACTGTATAAGTTTCCACACCATGACAAAACCCTGGGCCTTCCAACAATGCCAAAGCCCAAAGTTGTATGCCCTCTTTACCTGCCCAGTCTCCACAGCAATGTTAGCAGCAGATGAATTGAAGAGGTGGTCCCACCAATGGAAAGTGAATTGCTCAGCTGGGTTGTGGCCCACCTGTGTTGGAATGAAACAGAAGTTATGAGCTGTAGACTCTCCCAAAGTAGTGACAGCCACTTTTGCCCACAAGTTCGCAGGGCCCCAAAGGCTGCCAACACCATATCCCAAACCAAAGAGACGATTACACAGTAGCCCACTGCCTCCCTTTTATGACTCCCTCTCCTGCATTTTGAAGCTATCTGTGTTTTTTTAAATTTTATTCTTGTTTTGGCCAGGAATTCTACACCTATAGACACTTCTCAACCGATTTTAGCTAAAACGAAATATATTCTATGATCAAGCTCCTTATTTAAATCAGTCAAGTGTCCATTGCCTCTGATGAAGAGTACTTCATACCCATAATATGTTAATCAACAGGGAGCACTTTTAAAGACCTTTTTTCCAGCTCCTTCCTTCTCCACTGAACTTGCTGATCAAAGATTCAGCCTCCCTAATCTTTTCTAAACCCACAGGCTCAAGATCATAACCTTCCTTACCCCAGCTGAGTCACACTTGACTTTGACCTTTATGGCTTCAGAGATCCCATTTTCTCGCTTCCCAAGTCCTTTGCCTAAAATAAAGTTTGTGAAGAGTGGAGTCACAGTTAGGAGAAAGAACAAACAGGAGGCAGAGTTCTTTGCAGCCAATGAGTTCCAAATATCATTCCAAAAAAGCAAGCAGCTAGAACAGTGATTAGTATTTAACTGGCACATGGGGTCTGATCATAACGAGAGCTGAGTGCATGCCATAACACTACACACACAGAAAAAGAATATGATACTGGACCAACAAAAGCTTTAAGGTCTTTAGATAAGCACTTTTCTGCTTCTCACCCTGCTAGTGTGTGTGAAGTTGAAACACAGATTTTGACTAGTATTTCTCCGCATCCCACCCCATCCTTTTGCCCCATGCTGTGATGAATCTAATGTTGCTCCAGTTCTATACATATACATTAATGGGGGGGGGCTGAATGTATCCAAAAGATCCCCATGAACAAGCCCCACCCACTTACCTTTCTTCCAGCCATGCTTCTTCAGTTGCTTCTCTGCAAATTTCAGCCCTTTGCTTTTATTCTCCTGAGCAGTGTCATTCATGATAGAAGCTGGATAGACACATATGGAACATAAAGAAGCTGCGAAATAAAAGAGCGGCAGACCTGTGCCTAGAAACACGGCACAAAAGGAAGTCTGAATGAGCCCTGACTGGCTGTCCCTCTCCAGGATTTTAGGCAGGGAGTCCTACCCCAGCCCTACTGGGCATGCCAGGGATTGAGCCTTCTGCATGCAAGGCAGATACTGTGCTACTGAGCTACAGCCTTTCCCCAGAAGAAAAAGAAAAATTACAGCCCTCACGGTTCTGAATAAAGGACTGATTTAAATAGAAGCCGAGGAAGCTGCCTTATACTGAATCAGACTCTTGGCCCAGCTACCCCAGTATTACCTACACTGACTGGCAGCTGCTCTCCAGGATTTCAGGCAGGGAATTCCCCCCAGTCCTGCCTGGAGCAGCCAACTTGGGACCTTCTGCACGCAAACCAGTTGCTCTACCATAGTCCTACACAAGAAGGAGAATTACTTAGCTCTCAACAACCTTAACCCTGCAGAAGGAAACTCAAACGCTCTCACCAGCGACCCTCCACTCTGCCCAAAGGCGGAATAGCCTCGGACTGCACTCCCGCATCTCTCCAGCAACCCCCGCCCACAATAAAAAGCACCCAGCTCACCAGTCCTCCAGAAAACGAAAGAGCTCCAGTTGCGGATCACTCGGAATTGCGGCGCTTCGCTTTTGATGCAGACACGTGATCAACACGGGCGCGGCCATCTTGACCGGAAGTAAGATCCTTCCCCACCCACGCCCTGACTGCAAAGGATTGTGGGTGAATTGGAGGGAGGGGACCAAAGGGACCAGCGAGGAGGGTTAAAGCCGCTTGCTTAGGGGCCGTATTGTATTTAGCGCTGGATTGCTGCGCGTTTAAAGGGTTTTTTAAATAAATGATTTTTGCTAATGGCTTTTCTCTGATTGGCATTATTAAAAGCTTTATCGCTGTTAGGCAGCAGCCCAACCTCTGCAAATATACACCTGTCGGGTGACAGTTGCAAACACAAGCGTTGCTTTTTAACACCTTTATTTTTTATTGTTTCATGAAATCTATATACACCTTGATTGCAAGGGGGAGCCTCAAAGCAGTTTGAAAGAGGAACAAAACAACAAAATTATCAGTAACAACAGCTGTTTAAAAGATTCAGAAAAGAGTAATGAAATCAACAATGAGCTTAAAACATATATCAACATTATTCATACCTGGATAGGCTGGCATTAACAACAATTTTAGCAGGCACCAAAAAAAGTGTGATGAGGAACCCTGTTTGCTATCAATAGGCAGGGAGTTCCAAAGTGTGTGTCCTGCCACACTAAAAGTTCGATTTACAAATGTGGAGTGAGTGTTACGAAATGAGTATTTTGCTATAATCTAAGGGTGTAATTAAATGTGTTTATATCACTCCCATGGGCTTAGCTCAGTTTAGCTTAATACACAGAAGCGCCTTCTTTATTGCTAAATATATTCAAATATTATGGAGCAACAGTTAATGGAATAAGCTAACCTGGTGACCCGGTAGGATGGCTTTATGAGGATTAGGCCCAATTCATGGGCCTCCACTATTGCAAGCTGTATGCTGCTGAATGCTGCAAAAGATTTCTTGCACCCAGGTACTGCTTGCTGGCATCACAAGAGGCCTCTGCTTGGTCACTCTGAGAACAGGATGCTGGATGAGGTGGACCAATGGCCTGATCCAGCAGCGCTTTGCTTATGAACTTACAAATGTCATGGTGATTTTAATCAATCAGACTGGGTAGAATTTTGGATATGAGTTTCTCGTATTACTTTAGCATTGGAACAACAGGGGAAGGCTGCCAATGGAAGACAAAGACGGTCATTCATTTATATAAACTTTTTAAGAATTGTACCACATGCTCCATACATTTCCTTGAGCTCGGAAATTCAAGTGGCCATAAATCAAAAAAGCTAATTGTTGCATGGAATCCATCTGGAAGATGATGATGTGTCACTAGCACACCGTTGTCCTCTAACCGCTTCTTGTACAACAGCCCATCATCCCGGAGAATATCATACTCGCAAGTTAGAAGGAAAGTCTCCGGGAGCTGGCGGATTATGTCATCCTCTGCTAGAAGGGGGGCAAACTTTGTCTCACCAGCTCTTTTAACTTGTTCATAAAGTTCTTTTGAAAATGGGACAGGAGCACTAGGGACATAGCCCCTGGCCTTAAATTCTTCTGGAATGTTATCAACACTGATCCATTTTTTGTACTTCTCCCTATAATCAGGAGGGATATGGGCACCTTTTATAACTGGGTCCACATTGATCTCCTTCCCAGTGAGATGTGTCAAACCAAGTTTGATAGCTCGTTTTCTGTACAAGAGAGGAATTGATTGGTTTTGCTGATAGGATGGCAAATCAAAGTCCCCTGATTGTAGAAATGGGTAGATCAGGACCTGAGCTCGCAGTCTTGGGAGGTCCTCTCTGGTCACCAGTTCTTGACAAATAGCTGTTGCAAATGTGCCTCCACTACTGTCCCCAACAATAGCAATGCAGTTGGGGTCCACTCCGTATTCCTCTGCATTCTTCAGAAAGTGTATTGTAGCAGTTAAACAGTCCAGCACAGGGACTGGATAGGGATGCTCAGGAGCTAAACGAAACCTAAAGAGAAAACAAGATATCGCCCACATTCAACACCATACACTTCATGTAAAAAGACCATTTTCTGTAATGGCATACTGCAAGTGCTGAGAATCCTTTCCACCCCTAGGGCCACATTCCTTTCCGTGCAACCTTGTGGGGGCCACATGCCAGCTACAAGTGGACCTGAGGCAAAAATGGAAAGCAAATGCAAACTTTCCCTTTGGACGAATAGGCTGTTTCATTACAACACACCTTTCTCTACCCTCCAGCTCCTTCCTTCTTGCATAAAGGTAAAGGGACCCCTGACCATTAAGTCCAGTCGTGACCGACTCTGGGGTTGCAGCGCTCATCTTTCTTTATTGGCCGAGGGAGCCGGCGTACAGCTTCTGGGTCATGTGGCCTGCATGACTAAGCCACTTCTGGCAAACCAGAGCAGCACACGGAAACGTCGTTTACCTTCCCGCCGCAGCGGTACCTATTTATCTACTTGCACTCTGACGTGCTTTCGAACTGCTAGGTTGGCAGGAGCTGGGCCCGAGCAACAGGAGCTCACCCATCGCGGGGATTCGAACCGCTGACCTTCTGATCGGCAAGTCCTAGGCTCTGTGGTTTAACCCACAGTGCCACCCGCGTCCACTCCTTCTTGCATACCCCCCATCATTTCTCCGATGAAAATAGGGGCATTCTATTCCATAATGATAATAAATTAGTTATACCCCACCCATCTGACTGGGTTGCCCCCGCCACTCTGGGCAGCTTCTAACATATATAACAACGTAATAAAGCATTAAACATTAAAACACTTCCCTATATAGGGCAGATGTTGTATAGTTACTTATCTCTTTGGCTCAGGGGTTGCATAATTCCAAACACTCCCAACATTTCTAAATGAAAATAGGGATGTCCTAAGGAAAAGTGGGACATTCTGGGATCAAATCAGAAACCGGGATGGCTTCTGAAAATCTGGGACAGTCACTGCAAATAGGAGCACCTGCTTGTGCGTTTCCCATTCGGGCATCTGGTTTGCCACTGTGAGAACATGATGCTGGACTAGATGAGTCCCCTTTGGCCTGATCCAGCAGATTTCTTACTATGTTCAAAGTCAAAGGGATTTGAGCTAGAAATCTAAATACAAAAATGAACACCCATTCTAAATGTTGGCAAAATCACTATGTTTACAACTTTATAAAGCTGGAAAGCATTTCACCGATTGAACTTGAGTCCCAACAAGACAGAAGTACTGTTTCTGGGGGGTAAGGGCTGGGTGGGTGTGGGGGACTCCCTGGTCCTGAGTGGGGCAACTGTGCCCCTAAAGGACCAGGTGGGCAGCCTGGGAGTCATTCTGGACTAACAGGTGTCCATGGGGGCACAGGTCAGGTCTGTGTCCAGGGAAGCTGTCTACCAACTCCATCTAGTAGGCTGGCTGAGACCCTGCCTGCCTGCACATTGTCTCACCAGGGTGGTACATGCTCTGGTCATCTCTGGCTTTGACTATTGCAATGCGCTGGATGTGGGGCTACTTTTGAAGGTGAGTTGGAAAGTACAACTAATCCAGAATGTAGCAGCTAGACTGGTGACTTGGATCAGCCGTCGGGACCATATAACTCTGGTCCTAAAAGAACTACATTGGCTCCCAGTACATTTCAGAGTACAAATCAAAGTGTTGGTGCTGACCTTTAAAGCCCTAAATGGCTTCAGCTCTGTATACCTGAAGGAGCATCTCCACCCCCATCATCCAGCCAGGACATAAGAGATCCACCTTTGAGGGCCTTCTGGATGTTCCCTTACTGCTAGAAGTAAAGCTACAGGGAACCTAGCAGATGGCTTGGTTAGTGGTGTCCACCCCATGGAACACCCTCCTCAGACCCTCCAAGTGAGTCTATTTTCTAGGGACAGTCCCGGATTTACAGAGGCTGTCCCAGTTTCTGATTTGATCCTGGAATGGCCCACTTTTCCTTATGATGTCCCTATTTTAATCCGATAAATGTTGAAGAGTATGGTAGGACATCAGCATTTTCATCAGAGAAACATTGGAGGTCCCTATTTTCATTGGAGAATTGTTGCTGGGTATGTCAGATGTCAAGGAGATGAGTAACTATGTAACCTTTAGAAGATATTTGAAGGCAGACCTGTTAAGGAAAGCTTTTTAAAGTGCAATGTTTTATTACGTTTTTATATATGTTGGAAGCCACCCAGAGTGGCTGGGTGGGGTACAAATAAATAAAATAAAATAAAATAATTCATCTGGGATCAGGTCTTAGGAAAGGTTAGAAGCTGAGGGGCATTACACGGCTACCAAGAGAGTGAAACCACTTACCCAACACTCACAACCACTGAATCACTTTGGTTGGCCATGAAACGGCAGATCTTTTCAGAGGCTCCTGGAAGAAAGCAAAAGCCCCCCCCCAAAAAAACCTCCATTACAATTTTTCCTGGTCACGAACACTGATATCATTGTGAGCTGAAGTCTGTGTCAGTCCTACTAAAAGTAAATCTGTTGAAATCAAGAGATCTGCTTATTTATTTATTTTTATGTCATAAAATGTAGATGCCACTTGATTAGAGAAAACAACAACAACTTTTAATAGAGCTCAGTTGGGAAAAACTCAGTTGAACTCTTTGTAAATCACTAGCTAAAAACCATTCTGTGGGTTTTACTCTCTCCTGATCAGTAACAGAACAAGCAGTGTCAATGGGTAAAAAACAAAACAAAACTTCCACCCACATTTCTGGGCTTCTTTCCAGATATTTCTGATCATCGCTGGAAGCCATTTCATAGAAGTCCTTTGCGGCATGAAGCAGATACATCTTCTTTGACATTTTAAGGATATTTCATTGAGTGTGATACAGAACTGGTCACCTTTGTAACAGGGGGCCTCTCAGCCCCATTTTCTTACCACACAATGACATCCTACATTAATCTTAAACTGTCAACAGCAGCAGTATGAAGCACCCCACCTCTATGTAGCAAACATTTTGGGAACTTTACATTAAAGTACCGCCCCAAATTCTCCACAAACCATTTGGTAAACCTTTGTGAGACTCTTTCAAAGAACTTACGCAAGCTTCCAGTGAGTCCAGCGCCTCCATGAAGATAGATGATTCCTCTCCTGTTCCCAGCAGCTGGTGTCTTGGGCCAGTACACCCTCACTGGCACCCCATCAAAAACCAGGTCCTTACTGATCAACTTTGAGTCCTTCCCTGTTAGTATGGCATTGAACGCAATCCTCCAGATGATGTATCTATGGCAAATGCCCAGTTTTTCCAGAAACAATCCCTGTTTAAATCAAAACATTCACCATACATAAGAATGTAAAAAGAGCCTGTTGGACCTGGCCAATGGCCCATCTAGTCTAGCAGCCTGTTCTCACAGTACCTGTGGGAAACCTTCAAGCAGGATCTGTGCACAGGAGCCCTCTCCCAGCAAAAGGCATTCAGAAGCATTGCTGCCTCTTGCTTTAGAAGCAGAGCATAGGCATGGAGACTAGCAGCCACCCAAAACCTCCTCCTCCCTGAATTTATCTAATCCTCTTTGAAAGCTATTCAACTTGGCAGCCATCACTGCCCCCTGTGAAAGAGACTTCCATAGTTTGAATATGTTTGGTGTGAAGAAGTCCTTTCTTCTATCTGTCCTGAATCTTCCAACATTCAGCTTCATTGGATCTCCACAAGTTCTAGTGTCATGAGAGGAGAAAAGCTTTTCTCTATCCACTTTCTCCACATCATCCATAATTTTACAGACCTCCATTATGTCACCAGTTGCTTGCCTTTTCTCTGAACTAAAAAATCCTAAACACTGTAGCCTTATTGATAAGGAGGGTGGGTCACTCCATCCCTTCGAATTGTGAGATATGCAAAACAAACTTACCAGTCCAAGTGTATATTCCACTGCAAAACTGAAAACTCGTAATTTTATGCCCTGGCTGATTCCTGGAGGAATATGGGTCCTTTTAAAATGATAATAGACTCCCCATGCAAACAGCAAGGAATGAATGAATGAAAATGTATATAATATCAGCAGCCACAGAGTTCCACCAAATGCCATTTCCCTTACACTCAGAAGTGCAGAGGTAGGGCCTTCGCCTGAGCCGATGCTTTTGTAGGGACTTTGTCTGGGGCAATGCTAATTGTATGAGACTAGTCTGCTCCACGTGCAAGAGAACATTCTCTACCAACCCACATAGCTTTCAATTGAGAAAATATTTTATTAATCTGTTCAGATTGCAGTCTAGCCTAGATTAGTGACTGTTCCTCACACAGGGTGTGGCTGTAGCTTCCCATTCCTCCTCCAGAGAGAAGAGGTGCATGGGATTTCCATAGACTCTGAAGGCCAAGCAGATCAGGCCAAGCATCTTTCTCTTATGATAGGCACCACCCTTGCAACACATCTTCATTTTATAATGCTTCCTCTCCCACACAAAATACTTCAGCATCTTTCATCCCCCATGAATTGGGCAGCTCAGGTGATCAGGGATGGCACATCTATGCAGGTGTGGCCATGGGCGCAGATGCGGAGGAAGGGGCTGCGGTGGGGGCAGACCGCCCGGGTGTCAAGAGTGAGGGGGGTGACAAAACGGCACAAAGGCGCAAAAAGTATTCCGCCTTGGCGCTTTCCCCCGCCTTCCCACTCGCCCGCCCGCCCCTCGCGCCTTGTCTAGTCCTTCCTCTCCCTCCTGCGCCCGCCCAGCACGCAGTTCCTACCAGACTCCCCTGCTTTTGCTTTCACGGTGCATCCGCGTGCATGAAAGGGAAAGCAGCGCCGGTCTTGCATCTTGTTTCCTTTTATAGACAGGAAGGTGTCGGGCCGCAGACTAGCCTTGCAAACGGAGAGAGGAGCTTTCTGCAAACCTCGGGGGACTTTCCATACATCCACACACCCTCCCTCGGGGGCGAAGTTGCCGGCCTCGTTGCCTTAAGGGTTAAAGCTAGAGAGTGCGAGCTGCTAGAGAGAGAGATGCTGGATACTGACTTGGGAAAGGGGGCGTGGCCTCAGAAGAACAGCTGACCTCTGCCGTCGGATGCTGCGACGAGTCGGGTGAGTGCAAAGCACCTTGGGTTGCAGCAAGCTTTGGGTGTGTGGGTGTGTTTGGGTGTTTGTGCAATGCAATACCCGTGGAATTGGGGTTAGGGGTGGAGAGAGAGCAGGCAGGGAAGCTGTGGGTCCGGGGGGGGGGTTGCAGCTGATTCATCCTAGTTGCAAAGAAGAGACGAGCTTCTCCCTGAAGGTGCGCCCTCTCTCTCTCTCTCGCTCTCTCACACACACACACGTGCGTCTGCGTGAACACGTGAAGAGCCCTGTAGTTTGATCAGGCCAACGGCCCATCTAGTCCCGCACCCTGTTAGAATCATAGAATCTTACAGATGGAAGGGGACCCTGAGAGTCATCTAGTCCAACCCCTGCAATGCAGGAGTCTCAGTATCGTCTCCCCGCGGTGGCCAAGCCTGGAAGAAGGATTGGAGCCCAAAGGCATCTCTCCCCTCCAGCGGCTCCTGGCAACTGCTATTCAATTAAGTGTAACAATAATTTAACAACAACTTGGGCAGCTCCCAACAGAATATTTTTAAAAAACCAATGAAACATCAAACATTAAAAGCTTCTCCATACAGGGCTGCCTTCAGATGTCTTGTAAAAGTCAGATACAGTGGTACCTTGGATTAAAGATGCTTCAGGTTGAGTGTTTTCAGGTTGTGTTACACGGTGACTTGGAAGTAACGGAACGGGTTACTTCCGGGTTTTGCCGCTTGCACATGCGCAGATGCTCAAAATGACGTCATGCGCAGAAGCGGCGAATCGCGACCCGTGCAGACGCGGGTTGCGTTCTGCTCAGGATGCAAACGGGGCTCCAGAACGGATCCCATTTGCATCTAGAGGTCCCACTGTAGATGTTTATTTCCTTGACATCTGATGGGAGAGCGTTCTACAGGGAGGGCGCCACTACTGAGAAGGCCCTCTGTCTGGTTCCCTGTCATTGAGTTGATATAGAGCATCTATCCTAAACTGTCAGCTTCTCAAAAAGCAGGATCAGGAAGTTTTTAATGTTTGATGTCTTATTACGTTTTTATATTTTGCTGGAAGCCGCACAAAGTGGCTGGGGAATAATTTATTATCATTACTACTACTACTATTATACCACCTGTTCAGTCTGAAAATTTATTTGTACCAGTGCATTTGGAAGCATCAGAATAACTTGAGGTAATATATTCATACAAAACCTTTGCTCCTAATTCATCCTTTTCAATCCTACCGGCAGAATTTGATCTGAGTTCTGGGATAGCTCAGTTGGTAGAGCATGAGACTCTCGGGGTTGTGGGTTCGAGCCCCACCTTGTCAAAAAGATTCCTGCATTGCAGGGTGTTCAACTAGATGACCCTCTTGGTCCCTTCCAACTCTGTGATTCTATGGTCAATGAACCTCACTTATTTGCAATGAGGGAACCACCACAATTTTTTTTAAAGCAACATTTTATTAGAAATTCCGCAGCCCACCTTTGCATAATAGGAGTTTGCCTTTGTAAAATTGGAGAGCGAAAGGAGAAGGAATCTCAGGGTGGGAACATGATCACACGTATACCTGCGCCAAATATGAAATCCAGCATGTGGCCTGCTTGATGTGTGGGGCCCGAAACAAACTGGGAGAGTGTCGCCATGGAAGATACCAGGTCCAGAGCCTGTGAGGAGGGAGTGGCATCAGCATGGATGTTGAAGTCCCCCAATACCAATACGTTAGGGAACTCCAAGGCCCAGCCGGCCACTGCCTCCAGTAGGCCTGACAGGGTGGTGAGGCGTTCACAAAGTAAAGGAAGGATTGAACTCTGATTAATAAGAATACACACAGAGGCTTGAACCAGCAAGACTCTGGGAAGGGTGCGTATAATAATCTCTCTCTCTTTCTGTGTCTCCAGCCCCCGGCCCAGGTCGTTTTATTCACAAAATAACTTTTTACAGAGTGTTCGTAAGAACCAATCAGATTTCTTCTGAGCATTTCAACAAACCCAAGTGGGGAAAAGTTAAACTACCAAAACTTAATTAAGCATGGGGTAAACAAAGAACAGAACTACAAAGGAGAGCATTTGGCACCACCGGAGGTGATAAACAAGCAATATACGTGATAAGGAGGATGGCCAGGAGGACAGCGATCATTATCACCTTCATGTGAGATCTGTTTCCTGGCACTAAGATTAACATCCTAAGATTAACATATTAGAAAGCTACTTCAAAGAAGCTTGCCCACTATCTTTGATGATCCAGAACGCCTCCCTGGCTGTGTAAGTGACTTGTGAAGAAAGAGAAATGGAACAGGGATGCAGAGGTGCGGATTGATCAAGAATCATATCAAAATAGTTTAAACCCAGTCAACGCAATGCTTTCATTGCTGACACAGATGGCTTACTCTATATTTGTTATAATTCCTCATAGCAATCCCACCTGATCACTACAGGGTGGCTGCTGGTGCGCTAGGTGGCTGGTACACCAGCCAGACAGCCAAGCTCTCCTCGGAACCCCACTAGGCCAACACATTCAGTGCTGGGGATCGATGGCGATGGCAGAGCCCTGAAAGAACAATCTTCCCAGATTAATAATGCAACCCCTCCCCTCCGGCCCACAGTCCATGACTGGTGGAGGACAGAGAAACCTGGGGGCGCCATCTCTCGTAAGGTAACTGTTTCTCCTTCACACACCCAGGTCTCCGTCACACAAGCCAGGTCGGCGCCCTGCGAGGTAAAGAAATCTCGCAGGGTGGCAGTTTTGTTGCCTATAGACCTGGCATTGCACAGCACCAGTGACGGAGGTGAGTAATCCTTGCTCACCCTACCCTCGTCCCTCGGGATGGGGCGCAGATTGGAAGGGGTACGAGCGTATCCTTATCTCAATCCTCTTTGCCTATAAAATCTGCCCCCACTGCCATACCTCCCTCGCCCCTCCACGGTAGCAATCCCAAGCCTCATACTAGCCTCCATTGATGGCATTGATGTTGTTCTTTCCCAACCTAGTTATTCTGCTTATAATATCAACAACTCGATAAACTCTTAATTAGTCGAGTAGGACAAACCAGCTAACCATCAGCTACCTCTCTGATTATATGAAAACGATTATATTATTTGTCAACCTATTATTATAATCTTAGACTAACCAATTAATTAAACTGGAGAATAAACCACAAAACATTCCACAGCTAAACAGAACTACCATATAACATACATTCAGGGAAGAAAAACCACCTAAATAGCAGGAAAACAACAATCAAGCATCTAACAGTAGACAAGCAGAACTTAAATATAATCATAAAACAATGGACTATAAAGAACTGAAACAGATGGCAAAGGAAGGGGGGAGGGGAAAATGGTTCTTGTAGCAGACAAGGTTCTTGTAGCATCATGTGCCAGCTCGAGTCTATTCAAATGATCTCCGAATCTGCCAACCTGGACAACCAGGCGACATCGGGGGACGGGCAAAGGAAGGAGGGGCAGGCTCGGTAAATGCCCTGTTCAATGTCAATGCCATGCCCGATGGTCTCAGGGGACCCTCCCTTGCTATTGCACTAGCACTTGTAGTGGCAGAGAAAGTGTTCCTCTTAGCATCAGGAGTCCTCAGGTTTCCCCCCACAGCTGGTGTTCTCATGGCCACGGGGTGATACCTCCGGGGGGGGGGGAGAGCCTCTGTTACATCATCCTTCTCCATGCCAGGGCGGGAACAGCCAGTGTTGCTGCCTCCAGGACCGACCATCCCCCAGCTGCCACCTGGGTAGGTTCGATCGCGGGTGTCTCGAGACCTGAGAGGTTCAGAATTGGCCTCATCCTAAACTCCAGCTGACACCTGAAGAACGGATGTTGACTCACCCCCAGGTGGAAGGCCCTCACCACAAAGGCCCCTGAGAGCCTTGGCCTCATGTAAGTTCTGTTGGTTACCACCTCTGCTATGGCCAGCTGCCAGCCCTGTGGCTTAACAATCTCTGGTGTCTTGAGAGTGGAACCCCCCCTCTCCAACTTCCCTAGGTGCTTTTCAGTTGAGTCATCTGCAGAGTAATATATTTTGACCCAGGCTCCATGCTGAGCATTTAATCAGTTTGTTTCAGTTTAGGAGTACTGCTGGCATGCAGGACAGTTGGATTCACAACTGGGAAGATAGAGGCAAGGCGTACAGGCACAGTTGGATTCACAAGCTAAGAGGGTAGAGGCAAGCCCAAATGGAACGCTCTTGTAATATAGCGTCTTTGGTAGCAATAACCGTTCTCCACCTCCCTTAGTTCATATAAAACACAGAATCAAAGCCTGAGTCAGAGTCAGTTCGGGAAAAAGTTCAGAAGATTAATAAAAATTGTTTAGAGTTACGAGTCCGTGAAATAGGCTGGGCGGCGACAGTTAAGCTGTTTGACTTCGTTAGATCTGATTTACTGCGCCAATGTCACAAGTTCTCTGATGTAAGATCCCAGGTTGCCAAACACATAAAACATACCCTACTTTCGATAAGAACAGGGTTTCAAAGTTTAAAAAGTTTAAAAAGTGAAAAAGGAGTAGGAGTCCACAATATATAATTGAGGAGAGCTCTTAAGGATAATTATGAAAAATGTTGGATTGAAGTGAAAAAGGATTTAGAAATATGGACAAATTTGAAGTTATCATTGTTAGGTCGAATTGCTGTGATAAAAATGAATGTGCTGCCAAGGATGTTGTTTCTGTTCCAAACATTACAAATTTTGGATAAGATGGATTGTTTCAAGAAGTGGCAGAAAGATATTTCCAGATTTGTCTGGCAGGGCAAGAAGCCTCGAATAAAATTTAAGATATTAACTGATGCTAAAGAAAGAGGTGGATTTGCCCTGCCAGACCTTAAACTTTACTATGAATCAGCTGCTTTTTGTTGGCTGAGAGAATGGCTGCTACTTGAAAACACTGACGTATTGGACCTAGAAGGTTTCAATAATGTATTTGGTTGGCATGCATATTTGTGGTACGATAAGGTAAAAGTACATAAAGCATTTAAAAATCATATTGTTAGAAAAGCATTGTTTAATGTTTGGATAAGATATAAAGATTTGCTAGAAAAGAAAACCCCAAGATGGTTGTCACCAATGGAAGCGAAGGCACAGAAAAAACTCAATATGGAGGCCAAATGGCCGAAATATTGGGAAATTCTGGAACAAGAGGGAGACAGACTAAAACTGCAGAGTTTTGAAAAATTGAAAAATAAAGTGCGAGACTGGCTCCATTATTATCAAATAATGGAGGCATACAATTTGGACAAAAAAGTTGGTTTCCAGGTGGAAAAATCAAAATTGGAAACAGAACTGTTAGATCCAAAAATCAAGAATTTGTCAAGAATGTATAACTTGCTGTTGAAATGGAACACTCAGGATGAAACCGTGAAATCAGCTATGATTAAATGGGCACAAGATGTTGGACATAATATAATGATGGCTGACTGGGAACAGTTATGAACCACAGGTATGAAATTCACGGCATGTAATGCCCTAAGAGAAAATTTAATGAAAATGATTTATAGGTGGTACATGACACCAGTCAAGCTTGCAAAAATTTATCATTTGCCCGACAATAAATGTTGGAAATGGAATGAGACTGAAGGTACATTCTTTCACCTTTGGTGGACATGCCCAAGGATTAAGACATTCTGGGAGATGATTTATAATGAATTGAAAAAGGTATTCAAATATACCTTCCTGAAGAAACCAGAGGCCTTTCTCCTGGGCATGGTCGGCCAATTGGTGCCAAAGAAGGATAGAACTTTTTTTATGTATGCAACAACAGCAGCAAGAATGCTTATCACAAAGTATTGGAAGACACAAGATTTACCCACCCGGGAAGAATGGCAGATGAAGTTGATGGACTATATGGAATTGGCGGAAATGACTGGCAGAATCCGAGACCAGGGAGAAGAGTTGGTGGAAGAAGACTGGAAAAAGTTTAAAGATTATTTACAGAAACACTGTAAAATTAATGAATGTTAGAAAAATGTTGGAATGAAATTATATGGCTTTAGTAGAAATGTTACAAGGAATTAAGTATAAATAGATTAATAGAGTATTAAAGGAAAAAATAAGGTTAGAATGTGTTAAGATAATTATAGGATAGAAAACAGAGGAAGATGGAAAGGAACTGCTGAAACAATTAACAGAAGTGGAATACAAAAAGGGAGGTGGGAGGAGGTCGTGGAAATAAGTGAATGGAAGATAAGATATTGAAATTGTTTGATTTATTTTAAACTGTCTTTGTTTTGTTTTGTTAGTTTAATGTATTTAATGTGTTTTTATGTGTCAGTGTTATGTAGTGTTTTTCTATTGTGTTGTATTGTATTGTATTGTATTGTTTTTGTAGTGTTTAAATTGTTAGAAAAGTAATAAATATTAATTTTAATAAAAAGAGGAGAGCTCTAACAAGCGCATCTTACCTCAGCGCTATCTTCTCCTCTTTACCTTATAACAGGCACTGTATGGAGCAGTTACAGAAATCTCAGTATGGTGCCTTTCTTATTCTGAGATGTGGGCTGAAGAAGTGCTAAATACCAGTTTGGGGGCAGCCTGTGCCTATTCATATTTATTTAGGAGTCCCTATATTTTAATGGATTTACACGCATTAGTAACTGTGCATAAGAGTAGAGCATTACCTGTGTTAAGTTGGAAAAGACTTGTTTGTTTATGATCTGGGGTTCAGGGGTGCCAATGCACTACCGGATTCCCTGCTTATGGAATCGTCCACATGCAGACAGATCTAAAGACAGAGACACTAGCTGTTATAAATAAAGCCTGATTGGATTTATTCTGATGACTTTTGTAGAGAATACAGAAAAAAAGCAATGAACTAGCTGAAAAACTAATTTTAAGGAAGTCAGTCTGTTTCAGGTCGCCTCATCCACCCCTCCCAGACATGTTTCCCTTGTCTCTTTCTCGACAGAGGTCATCATACAGGGCGACCAAAGCAGTTTCTGCACCAAAACCAGCCATAAACCCCAATAGAAATGGATCCAGAAAAGTTTCTTCCAAAAGCACCTAGAAAAATGACCTCTTAGTAATGAAGTCATACTCTCGCCAGCGGCGCAGGAAGGGGGGTGCGGGTCTCCTCAGGTGTCATCACTGGGTGGGGGTGAGAAAATGCCAAAAATATGTGTTTTTAAAATAAAATTTAAAAATTTGGGCTCACAACGTTTTTTGAAAAAGTAATATTATTTAAAATGAGTTTAATAACTTTGTCTGACAATTAGATCAGTCAACAAACGCAACGAAACGCGGCTGAACTCGACGTAGTGGAGAACGTATGAATAAGGAAGGGGAGTGGGTGTTTCTTTCCACCGAAAGCAAAAGGAATTGATTTTGATGATGTGATTCAAAATTTGCAGAGAACAAATTTAGGGGGGAAAGGTTTTAAGTGCTTATGCTCACAATGTTAAGTAAACCAGAAAATCTTTAAATCATAACTTTACATCTTACCATTAAACATGTTTTTGTTTTCAAAATGTATTTGGTGACTATTATTGTCATCATTCTTAAGCCAACCTATATTACTACACACAAATAGAAAAAGAAAAGAAGATGTAATTTTAAAATCATAATATTTTTCATAAATAAATGGCTTCCCATCTCTTCCATTTTGTACTAATAAACTTGTTGCCTATATTGTCTATTGTCTTTTTATTAACAGTATTGTCTTTTCTATCGATTTTCCTTTTATATTCAGTGTCTACAGAAATTACTCAAAGGCTGTTACCGTTTTCAGATTGCAACAATTGCTTTTTAAATATTCCTTAAAACAATTCCAATTTGAGATAAACTCCTGTTTGGGTTTATCTTTAATTCTTTCTGATAAATAGTCTAGCTCCACATATTCTGTCAGTTTTAGTATCCAGCCCGATCTAGTAGGTATATATTCACTTTTCTACTGTGTAGCTATTATAACCCTTGCAGCTGTGGTGGCATACAAAAAGATTTTCCTTGTTTTTTTAGGGATATCCAGACCGGTAATGCCCAATAAGAATGATTCCGGTTTTTTCAGAATATTTACTTTTTTAAAAAAATTAAGTTTGAGAGAGATGTCATTCCAAAATGGTTTAATCCCTTTGCATGCCCAGCACATATGTAATGTAGTCCCACCAGGTTCTCCGCATCTCCAACAATTCTTAGAGAGGTTTCTATACATCTTAGCAAGTTTACAGGGTGTCAAGTGCCAGCGATAGAAAACTTTTTGGAGGTTTTCCCTTATAGTGCAACCCTTATAGTAAACTTCCAATTAACCCTCTGTAGGAGTGCAAATATCCAGAGTGTGGGGTCAGGTGGGATTACTATGAGGAATTATAAAATATGCATCAAGCCATTGTGTCAGCTGTGAAAGCATGGTGTTGATTGGGTTTAATTCATTGACAGTAATTTCTGATCAAATCCCACAACCCTCTGCATCTCTGGCCATTTTCTCTACTGCCCATTTCTCTTTCTTCACAAGTCACGTACACAGCCCAGTTGCTTAGACAGACAGGCTTCTGGGTCATCAAAGACAGTGGGCAAGTTTCTTTGATGTAGGATGTTAATCTTAGGGCCAGGAAACAGATCTCACATGAAGGTGATAATGATCGTTCTCCTCCTGGCCATCCTTCTTATCATATGTATTGATTGTTTATCACCTCTGGGGGGTTGCCAAATGTCCTCCTTTGTAGTTCTGTTAATTAGTTTTGGTAGTTTAACTTGTCCCCACATGGGTTTGTTGAAATGCTCAGAAGAAATCTGATTGGTTCTTACGAACACTCTGTAAAAAGCTCTTTTGTGAATAAAATGACCTGGGGCCGAGGGGGCTGGAGACACAGAGAGACAGAGATTATTATACGCACCCTTCCCAGAGTCTTGCTGGTTCAAGCCTCTGTGTGTATTCTTATTAATCAGAGTTCAATCCTTCCTTTCGTTTGTGAACGCCTCAACCCTCCAAAAGTTTTCCCACTGGGAGATCTCTGTATTATGGCCAAGATCTTGAGCCCATCTAATCATAGATTAGGCCAATTCATGGAGGAGGCTATAGGTATGTTTGCACTATTGTGGGTTGTATGCCGCTGAATACTGCTTGCTAGGACTCACAAATAGGAAGACTTTTCTTGCACCTAGGTACTGTTTGCTGGCATCTCAAGAGGCCTCTGCTTGGTCACTGTGAGAACAGGATGCTGGATGAAGTGGGCCAATGATCTGATCCAGGAAGTGACAAAGACGGTCATTTATTTCTACAAAACTTTTAAGAACTGTACCATAAGCTGCAAACATTTCTTTGAGCTCGGAAATTCAAATGGCCCCCAACCAAAAATGCTAAGTCCTGCATGGCCTGCATCTGGAAGATGATGATGTGTCACGGGCACACCGTTGTCCTCTAACCGCTTCTTGTACAACAGCCCATCATCCCGGAGAACATCATATTCACAGGTTAGAAGGAAAGTCTCTGGGAGCTGGCGGATTATGTCATCCTCTGCTAGAAGGGGGGCAAACATTACCTCAAGACCTCTTTTGTGTTGTTCATAAATTTCTTCTGAAAATGGGGCAGGAGCATTAGGGACATAGCCCCTGGCCTTAAATTCTTCTGGAATGTTATCAGCACTGATCCATTTTCGGTATTTCTCCCTCAAATCAGGAGGGATGTGGGCACCTTTTATAACTGGGTCCACATTGATCTCCTTCCCAGTAATATATGTCGAACCAAATTTAACAACTCGTTTCCTGAACAAGGGAGGAACTGATTGGTTTTGCTGATAGGATGGCAAATCAAAGTCCACTGCTTGTAGAAATGGGTAGATCAGGACCTGAGCTCGCAGTCTTGGGAGGTCCTTTCTGGTCACCAGTTCTTGACAAATAGCTGCAGCATATGTGCCTCCACTACTGTCCCCAGCAATGGCAATGCAGCTGGGGTCCACTCCGTATTCCTCTGCATTCTTCAGAAAGTGTATTGAAGCAGTTAAACAGTCCAGCACAGGGACTGGATAGGGATGCTCAGGAGCTAAACGAAATCTAAAAAGAAAACAAGATATCACCCACACTCAACATCATACACTTCACAGAAAAGGACCGTTTGCCTGCATTACATATTGCAAGTGTTGGGAATCTTTTTCACCCCTAGGGCCACATTCCTTTCTGTGCAACCCTATGGGGGCCTGAGACAAAAATAAAAAGCAAATGCAAACTTTCCCTTTGGAAATCTACACTTGTTCCTACACATAGCCACACACCATTTTCTCCCCTCCAGCTGCTTCCTTCTTGTTTTCCCCTGTCCATATCTGGATCTACACTCACTTTTTAAGTGTTCTTAGAAAGTGAGTGTAGATCCAGATATTTTAATATCATTCTAAAATGTAAAGGCATTTGGTTTCTCCTTCGCATCCTTTTCTACAATATATACCCAATTATTTGACAGGGATGACTCTGCACTGCCCTCTGGTGTCATGTTTCAATGGCACATTGTTTAAGTTCTCCAACTGGATGGCCTAACCCATTTAAAAGTCATTTTGAGTGTTAAAAACCACAACTGTAAATGAGTCACATTAACAGGTTCCTGTAGCACTGCCCAGCATCCTGTGCATCAGTGAATTTTTAATCCCACTACTAGGTATCTACCTGTCCTCCATCCACAGCTCACCTGATCAGGTTGGCAAGACTCCTAGCAATTGCTAATACCAATGGATACTAGTCACAAGGATGATGTGCTACCGCCACTATGAGAGGCAGTAGTTGGAAACGAACTGGGGAGAGAGCTCTTCTGCTCAGATCCTGTTTGTGTGTTTCCCATTCGGGCATCTGGTTTGCCACTGTGAGAACATGATGCTGGACTAGATGAGTCCCCTTTGGCCTGATCCAGCAGATTTCTTACTATGTTCAAAGTCAAAGGGATTTGAGCTAGAAATCTAAATACAAAAATGAACACCCATTCTAAATGTTGGCAAAATCACTATGTTTACAACTTTATAAAGCTGGAAAGCATTTCACCGATTGAACTTGAGTCCCAACAAGACAGAAGTACTGTTTCTGGGGGACAGGGGCTGGGTGGGTGTGGGGGACTCCCTGGTCCTGAGTGGGGCAACTGTGCCCCTAAAGGACCAGGTGCACAGCCTGGGAGTCATTCTGGACTAACAGGTGTCCATGGGGGCACAGGTCAGGTCTGTGTCCAGGGAAGCTGTCTACCAACTCCATGTAGTAGGCTGGCTGAGACCGTACCTGCCTGCACATTGTCTCACCAGGGTGGTACATGCTCTGGTCATCTCTGGCTTTGACTATTGCAATGCACTGGATGTGGGGCTACTTTTGAAAGTGAGTTGGAAAGTACAACTAATCCAGAATGTAGCAGCTAGACTGGTGACTCGGAGCAGCCGTCGGGACCATATAACTCTGGTCCTAAAAGAACTACATTGGCTCCAACGCCATAGTGAGCTCCATGGGGCATGCAGGTTGCACTTTTTCGGGAAGTGCTGGGCCTGGGGGTGCCCAAGGTGGCGCATCCCTCCTGGGCACCCACCAGCTGAGGGGGACATGGTGGGAGTGTGCTGCCCCCATGCTGCTTTTTGGGGCAGCACTGGGCCTGCAGGGCACCCGAGACGTGTCCCTTCTAGGGGCCCTCCTTGTGTGGCCAACACATCCCCATTGTTTCTTTCTCAACCACCAGAGAGTGACTGGGGGGGTACAGCAGCTCTGGTGTGCTGTGGGCCAAGCCCCTGGCCACACTGACTTTCCTAGAGGTGTGCTGGGCTCTTGGGGCGCTGGTGTACCACCCCCAAAGGTAAGTACTTCCTGCAGCAAGTCACCCCGTACACTTCTGCCTAGCTACCCCACTGATTGGCTCCCAATATGTTTCTGTGCACAATTAAAAATGTTGGTGCTGACCTTTAAATCCCTAAACGACTTGGGCCCAGTATACCTGAAGGAGTGTCTCCACCCCCATTGTCCAACCCAGACTCTGAGATCCATCTCCAATGGACTTCTAGTGGTTCCCTCATTGCCAGAGGTGAGGTTACAGGGAACCAGGCAGAGGACCTTTTCCGTAGTTGCACCCACCCTGTAGAATGTCCTCCCAGCAGATGTCAAGGAGATAAGCACCTATGTAAATTTTAAAATACATATGAAGACACCCCTGATCAGGGAAGTTTTTAGTCTTTGATGATTTATTGTGTTTTTACTAATTTTTTGTCAGGAGCTGCCCTGAGTTGCCGGGGCTTGCCAGATGCGTACCATATAAATATATATATATATATATATATATATATATATATATATATATATATATATAACACTGGGCAACAATTTTACTTTTTGAATGTTGTCTAGATTTCTACAACTGATTTAGGGTATTTTTGCCCTGCTGAATCAGGAAATGGCATCCGTTTCTTTCCATCAGGTCAGGTTTTTGTGCTATGTTGATTTGAAAAAAATCAGATCTTGTGACAAAATCGATTACATTTTTGTGGCATATATCAGCTGATTTTTGTCAACAAATATCATCCTAAATATGTTTTTAAGAGAAAAAAATGTTTTTCCAACAACATATATTGATTACCTGATAGAAACATTGATTACTGTAAACTGAATGGTGGGCATTGATAAAGGTAAGTACACGTAAATTGCATGTTGCTTCAGCATTTTTCAGACTTCAGGGCTTGAACTTCCGTTTCTTGGAACTCCTGGAATGCTCAGCGGCAGGGAGGTCTCTCTTCAGAGTCCAACAGTAGTCAGCCATCATGACTACGTCCCAGCGACCCTGATACCTGGTCTCCATCTCTTTCATGTCCTGATGGAATCTCTCCCCCTGCTCGTCACTCATTGAACTCAGGTTCTCAGGAAACCGGTCCATATGTGAAAATAGGTACAGTGGTGCCCTGCAAGACGAATGCCTCGCAAGACGAAAAACTCGCTAGACAAAAGAGTTTTCCGTTTTTTGAGTCATTCCGCAAGACGAATTTCCCTATGGGCTTGCTTCGCAAGATGAAACGTCTTGCGAGTTCTTGCAAGTTTGTTTCCTTTTTCTTAAAGCCGCTAAGCCGTTAATAGCCGCTAAGCCGTTAATAGCCGCTAAGCCGCTAATAGCCGTGCTTCGCAAGACGAAAAAACCGCAAGACGAAGAGACTCGCGGAACGGATTAATTTCGTCTTGCGAGGCACCACTGTAGTGCATCTTGACGCTCATGTTGCAGCCCAGGTTTCTGAAAGCAGTCAGCATGTTGTTGACAAGTTCTGCGTAGTTTCTGGCCTTAGTGTTGCCAAGAAAGTTCTTCACTACCAGAACAAATGCCTTCCACGCTTCCAGTTCCACTTCATTCATTGACTTTCCGAACTCTGGATCTCTGATGAGCTGACGGATCTGAGGACCGTCAAAGATGCCAGATTTCAACTTCTCCATGGTCAATCCTGGAAAAGCCTGGCACAAGTAAGTGAAGCAGTCACCATCTTTGTCCAGAGCCTTGGTGAACTGCTTGATTAAGCCGAGCTTGATATGCAGCGGTGGGAAGAATATTCTGTCTCTGTCCACCAGAGGGTCGTTGATGACGTTCCTTTCTTTGCAAGGCACGAATTCCTCCTGCACAGGCCAGTCCTTCTTCGTATAATGCTGAGCACGGTCCCTACTATCCCACATGCACAGAAAACATGGGTACTTGGTGAAGCCAGACTGTTGTCCCAACAAAAAGTTCACCATCTTCAGGTCAACACAAATAAACCACTTATGCTGATCATAACCAATTTTCTCCAGCACATACTTCACCGCTTCATAGTTCTCCTTCAGTGTACTCGAGTGATCCAGGGGTATAGAGGCAAACTGGTTGCCATTGTGTAGCAGAACACATTTCAGTGATCGCTTGCTGCTGTCAATGAACAGTCTCCATTCTTTGGGTTCATACTGTGGCACTCCAAGCTTGAGTAGAAGCTGCGCAATATCTGCACAGTACACCAAGTCCTTCTCTTCCGAGAAATACGGAGATGCTCTTGACGCCTGTTGCAAAAGAAGCTGATGTGAGCACTGTCAGAAAGGAGGTTTTTTCCTTCAGTCTGGATGCCAACAGTTCGACAGAGTCCTTTGACAAGCTGGGGTTGCGAACTAGATCATTCAACTCCTTTTGGGAAAATGGATGTGGAGCATCATCTTCAAGAACCACTTCTTCTTCATGTCCTTCAACACTGGAGGCATCTTCGTCACTAATGTCAGGAAGTTCTCCGAAGATAGGCACTGGAATTTCATCACAATGAGCTACAGGATGACGTGCTGATTGAAGATCAGGATACTTGAGGCTGCTCCGGTTCTTTCTGTTGACCCCAGTCACATCAACAGCGCAGAAGCAGCAGTCAGTGACATGGTTTGTCGGCTCCCTCCAAACCACGGGAATTCCAAAGTTCAGACTCCTCTTGCCATTGGTCCACCCACGTAGAGTCTCGGTGCATGCCTTGCACACCATGTGTGGCGCCCAAGCTTTATCCTGGTCACCAAGTTTAATACCAAAATAACTTTATGCTTTGCCACACCAATTTATGGAAGATTTCGAGGTTTTATGACTTCAAACTAATCCCTTTTCGACATAATCACCCAGAACTATCGGACCTGAATACTTCTTGTCATTAAAATAATCATTTCCAATCAAAACAATTATTCGACATGGCATTTTACCCCCACCAACTTCTTCTAAAATGCTCCACACAAGCGTACACGTGAACAAAAACGTAAAAAAACGACGTGGCCATACCTCAAAAACTTGACCTGATTGAGCAAAACCAATGTGATTTTTGGATTCAGCGCATCAGATTCGTCCTAAATCAACTGAAAAAACGCAGACAACAAATTTGTTGTTGACCAGTGTAATTAATATTCCCTAGGAAAGGTTAGAAACTGAGAGGCATTCCATGTCCTTTTTGATACAATGAGAGTGAAGCCACTTACCCAACACTCATAACCACTGAATCACTTTGGTGTGCAATGAAACGGCAGACCTTTTCATAGACTTCTGGAAGAAAGCACAAGCCCCACAACCCCTCCATTACAATTTTTCCTGGTCAAGAACACTGATATCATTGTGAGTTGAATCCAATGTTAGTTCTATTGAAAGTAAAACTGTTGAAATATAGAGATAGATGGATATATCTGCTTATTTATTTATATGTCATAAATTGGATGCGCTTCTTGACTGTAGAAAACAACAACTTTTAATGAATTTCCTCTGGGAAAAACTCAGTTGCATTGAACTCTTTGTAAATGGGGCATCACTACCTAAAAACCATTCTGTGGTTTTACCCTCTCCTGATCTGTAACAGAGATCAAGCAGTGTCAGTGGGTAAAACCAAAACCAAACTTCCACCCACATTTCTGGGCTTCTTTCCAGTTATTTCTGTTCACTTCTGGAAGCACTTACATAAAAGTCCTTTGGGGCTTGAAGCAGAAACACCTTCTTTGACATTTTAAGGATTTTTCAGTGACTGTGATACTAGGAATTAATACAGAACTGGTCACCTTTGTAACAAGAGGTCTCTGCCTGTTTTCTGACCACACAATCCAATCCTACACAAAACTTAAGCTGCCTACAGGAGCAGTACAAACCACTTCCACACCTCACATAGCAAGCATTTCAAGACCTTTACATTAAAGTACCTCCTCAAATTATCCTTTTCAAAAACATTCCAAAGAGCTTACGGATGCTTCCGATGAGTCCAGAGCCTCCATGAAGATAGATGATTCCTCTCCTGTTCCCAGCACCTGGTGTCTTGGGCCAGTACACCCTCACAGGCACCCCATCAAAAACAAGGTCCTTTCTGATCAACTTTGAGTCCTTCCTTGTTGGTATGGCATCGTACATAACCCTGAGGAAGATATGCTTACGGCAAATGCCCAGTTTTTCCAGAAACGCTCCCTGTTGAAACCAAAACATTCAGCATTTATGATCAGTCTTAGACAATTTTGCATTTTAAAAAACTGCATACATGCACTGCCTATGGAACAAACCCCTCACTTGTGAGGCACCTACACTGTATATCCTTTCACTCACCACTCTCCACTTAGAGATTGGGATGTTGTGAAGGTATCTATCTATAGATATAAATATATGTACACATATATAAACATATATACACATAAGAACGTAAAAAGAGTCTGTTGGACCTGGCCAATGGCACATCTAGTCCAGAAGCCTGTTCCCTGTGGGAAACCTTCAAGCAAGATCTGAACACAGGAGCCCTTTCCTCTTTCCATATCTGGTGTTCAGAAGAATTGCTGCCTCCAGCTCTAGAGGCATAGGCAAGGAGGCTAGTAGCAACCCATAGCCTTCTCCTTCATGAATTTACCGTACCTTTGGATAGGTATTCAATTTGGCAGCCATCACTGCCCCTTGTGGGAGTGACTTCCATAATTTGAATATGTTCGGTTTGACGAAGTACTTTCTTCCAGCTGTCCTGAATCTTCCAACACTGAGCTTCATTCGATTGTCCACAAGTTCATGAGAGAGGGAGAAAAACTCTCTATCCACTTTCTCCATGTTATGCTAAATTTTATAAACTTCTATCATGTCGCCTATTACTCACCATTTCTCTAAACTAAAATATTTGAAAGGTTACAGCCCTTCTAGTAGAGGGGCCACCTCATTCCTGTGACATATATAAAATAAACTTACCAGTACAAATCCATATCCCACTACGAAATCAACAAATATTAAATTTGCACGACCGCTTATTCCTTGAGGCAGGTAGGGCCTGGTAAGACGATAATAAACTCCCCATGCAAGCAGCATGAAGTGAATGAAAATGGTCATATATAATATCAGCATCCACAGAGTTCCACCAAATGCCATTTCCCTTCAACTCAGAAGCACAGAGGTAGAGACTTCGTCTTAGCAATTGCTAAGTGGCGTTTGTACAAGAACAGTCTACAGCATGCAATAGAACATCTTGTGGCCAACCCACACAGTTGAGAAGAAAACAAACAGTTTACTAATCAGTTCAGAATTTACAGGCTACCCATAGCCTCTGAATTTTCATAGCCTCTGAAGGATAATCAGATGGGGAAGCACCCTTCTCTTGTCAGGTGCTGCCTATGCAACACATCTTCATTTTTGTGGTGCTTGCCCTCCCACACAAAATACTTTGGAGTCTTTAATCCCTCGTAATTCAGAGAGCGCACGTTATCAGGGATGGCATATCAATGTCAGAGTTAATCTCCTGCCAACAGCAGTATCACTGCCCCTGTCGGGACAGTGTGGTGATCAAAGAGGTTGGCACTGTGCATGCACACAATGGGAGCCAATCCTGCTCTTGCACAAATTTGATTGCTGCACATGCAACTCCACTTTCATTTATTTATTTCATTTATTTATAAAAAGAGGTAGCATCCAGCTTTTCAGTTTTCTCTGTGGACACCTGGTCAAGCACGGCACAGCTGAGGACTCTGTAACTCTCCTCACTCTTTTTCTTGATGAGGAGCAGGAAATCGTTGAATGGGAAGGATGAGGTGTTCTCACACTGTAAGACATTTCCAAAGAAATCTCCCTCCCAGCAGCCACCAGAAGTAGAAATTAGCAGGACATTCTTGATTTTTCTGAAAGCCACCTGCTTCAGAAATGGGCATATTTATTTTGTCTTCTAAATTGTCACGGCTAAAATGGCCGCTGTTTCTTTAATGCGAATAAAGCTGGGTCAGCATGAGTCAGCGGCCTGCAGCAGGTTGTATATATAAAGTGAGAAATGTTAGTTTGTGCTGAGGCTGAGGTTGGCTAGTTAGTTGGTTAGCGAGTGAGTGAGTGAATGAATGCTGGTAGTGTTGTTGTGTGTCAGTCGCTTTTGCACAAAGACTTTTAAGAATAAAACTCTGCAAGGATATTCTCGTGGACTCTTTTATGCAGACAAGGGTCTGAGGACCAGGCTGAAGAGACAAAGGGAGATCAGAACCCTTTCCTTCTTTTTTTGCTTTTTACAAACACTGACAGGTTATGGGCCCAGTGTTTCTGAGCATGTGCAGAGTGCAAAACGACTGACAGCATCTCAGCAGGGAGCTGGTGAGTCCTGGTGGTGTGTGGAGCCAGTGGCTGTGCGTTGGAGCAGTTGGTGGCAAGCTGTAACTGTCTGCAGCGACGCTGGAGCAGCTAGGATCTGAGGATCAGGAAAGCACTCAGCGTCGGCTACTGGAACAGTTTGAACTGCTAGAGGACCACAGTAGGCGACTCACAGAGTGGCTACACCAGTTGCAGAGCCAGGCGGGACCTGAGGGTCAACAGAGGCAGCAGCTAGAAGCCGGTGAGTGCCAGCCAGGACTGTCCAGTTGGACTCTAAAGAGAGAGTCAGGAGAGATTGCTGGAGGCCCCACAGAAGGGGCTCAGCAAGCACCAGCAGAGATGGCAGATTTCCAGTCTTCCCAAGTTGCAAACATTGGGGGAGGCATCCCTTTTGAACTTCTCTCAGAGAGCAACTGGCTGAGTTGGTCAATTAAAATGCAGCAGTTGTTAAGGAGAGATGGACTATGGGACTGTGTTGAAACTGAGGTTTTGAGGACTGACTCTGCTGAGAAAAAATGGCTAGATGAAAGGGCCCGAGCCCAAATTATGCTGTGTTTGAGCAACTCTCAGTTATTGCATGTAGCAAATGCCAGCACAGCGTTTGAGTGCTGGAATTTATTAAGGGCAATGCATGTCAGAGAAACTGCTGGAACTATAATTTCTCTGACCAGAGGGCTGTTCAGGACTGTTATGAAAGAAGGTGAGAGTTTGGCAACTCATCTTCAAATGCTGAAATCTCTGTTTCTTCAACTACAGCAGAGGGGTAAGCGTTATGATGAGACTGACCAAACCTACATTATCCTTTCAAGTTTGCCTGAAAGCTGGTTGCCTGTGATTAACAGCATGGAGAGTATGCATCCCCAAGATCTGACCCTTGAGTATGTGGTTGGCAGATTGACCGAAGAAGCAGAAAGAAGGTCAGCTAGACAGGCTGAACTCCAAGAACGGAGGAGTTACAGCCGAGGGGGCCAACAGCAGAATCTGCCAATGGAGCAACGCCATGGCGGTGAGGAGGTGCTATAGATGCAACCAACCCGGGCATCTCCAGTGTCAATGCAGGGCTAGACTTCCAGGAGACGACGTGGAGCAGAGACAGCATTCGACGCAGAAACGAAAGCAGAAGGGGTTCTCTTCAGGGAAGAAGAACACGCGTTCTGCTCAGTTTGTGTCTGCATTTTCTCGGGAGGAGAGGAAGATACCTCGAGGAACATGGTTGCTGGACTCTGGGAGCAGCAGGATTATCTGCAACAGTCGGGAGGACTTTAAGACCCTGGGGAAGCCAGCTGATGGAAAAGACTCAATCTATCTTGCTGATGGTCGTAGAAGCAAGATTGATGGCCAGGGAACATGTTTCCTGCAGTGCTTGAACACTACTCTACCAGAGACTCTGTTTGTCAGCAGTTTGGACTATTGTTTACTGTCTGTAAGCTGTTTGATTAATGCAGGGTATAGTGTTAAGTTCACGCAGGATGGTTGTCTGATAAAGAATGGAACTCAGGTATGTGGCCATGCAAAGTTGGAAAATGGGTTATATGTAATGCAGGACAAGCCTGTTAAAGCAACCCAGGTGGTTCAGGATAATTTGCCAGTTCATAAGGGGTGTGTACATGAACTGGGTCAGGCCAATTTCCGTGTGCTTTCAGAAATGCAAAAGGTGTGCAAGAACCTAAAAGTAAATAGCTGTAACTGTTTCCTAGATGCAATGTATGTAAAATGGCCACATCTAAGAGGAAGCCTGTGGCTTCTAAGAGTGACAGAGTATCTAAAGAGGTTTTAGAACTTGTCCATTGTGATGTGATAGGCCCTTTTCCACAGAGGACTGAAGGGGGCGCCAGATATGCTTTTCTGGTAATAGATGATAAATCACGTTTTAGTTGGTTGTTTTTGTTAAAGCAGAAATCTGAGTGTTTTCCCACATTCAGAGAATGGATTGCCCAAGCTGAAAAGCTCTTCGCTCGCCCTGTTGTGCAGTTGCAAACAGATGGGGCGGAGAATTTCTGAACAAACAATTTGGGGCATGGTTGCAACGTAAGGGGATCACTCATCGCTTGACTAACCCTTATAGCCCTGCTGAAAATGGTCTGTGTGAAAGACGTGGGGCTGTAATACAGTCAGTAAAGGACTGCCTGCTAGTGGATGCAGGATTGGGCCACAACCATAGGCTGTGGGGCGAGGCTCTCCTTACAGCGAACTTTTTGATTAATAGAACCTGGTCTAGCTCTATAAAAGATATTCCTTATCGTGTATTGTTTGGGAAAGAACCAGAGTGGACAATGCTCCATAATTGGGGTTCTTGGGCACATGTAAATATCCCCAAAGCTCAGCGCCAGAAAGGGGGAGCTAGAGCACAGAAACTGCGGTTTGTGGGATATCAGTCCTATGGCAAAGGGTGGCGTTTCAATTTACGCCCAGGACACGTGGTTCTGTCACGAAGCGCAGATTTTGCTGACCAGGACAGATGGACTGAGATCCATGCCAACCCAGATTGCCTACTGCCCCTGCAAGTAAGAGAAGAGGCTTCTTCTCAGCCATTGGCAACACAGGAGCAGGAGGAGGAGGAGGCACATATTTCCCCAAAAGACATGGTCAGAACCCTTTCCTTCTTTTTTTTTGCTTTTTACAAACACTGACAGTTTTGATACAAGCCCTTCTCTTTCCTAGCGAACAAGAATTTGGAGCAAATGATTCAGCAAAGGAAACAAAGCCCAGAATAACTAAGGACATAGTACAAGAATACTTGGCTAGTTTAGATGTATTCAAGTCTCCAGGGCCAGATGAACTGCATCCAAGAGTATTAAAAGAACTGGCAGATGTGATCTCAGAACCACTGGCAGTCATCTTTGAGAATTCCTGGAGAACAGGCGAAGTCCCGGCAGACTGGAGGAGGGCAAATATTGTCCCTATTTTCAAAAAGGGGGAAAGAGAGGACCCAAATAATTACCGCCCAGTCAGTCTGACATCAATACCAGGGAAGATTCTGGAGCAGATCATTAAGCAAACAGTCTGTGAGCACCTAGAAAGGAATGCTGTGATCACCAATAGTCAGCATGGATTTCTGAAAAATAAGTCATGTCAGACTAACCTGATCTTGTTTTTGACAGAATTACAAGCCTGGTAGATGAAGGGAACGCAGTGGATGTAGCCTACCTTGATTTCAGCAAGGCATTTGACAAGGTGCCCCATGATATTCTTGTAAAGAAGCTGGTAAAATGCGGTCTTGACTATGCTACCACTCAGTGGATTTGTAACTGGTTGACTGACCGAACCCAAAGGATGCTCATCAATGGTTCCTCTTCCTCCTGGAGAAGAGTGACTAGTGGGGTGCCACAGGGTTC